ACCATTAGTGGCCAAATAATCAGAACCTTGCTGTCACTTTTAAAAGGGCACTTCATAGAAAACAGTGTGTTCAGTAATCATACAGGGGACCTTGCATGGAAATTCAAGTCTGAAAGGAAGCACCACCTGCTGGTCCACCACCATCACTTACTGGAGTAACATGGCTTTCCTTGCAGGCCTCCATCCAAGTACTGACCAGGCCCAACCCCCCCCTCTGGAGAGCTGACAAGATCAGGTTACAGGGTAGCAAGACTATTGTCACAGACGGCAGACAGCAGAGAAATGAAAGAAGCCCATAATACAGACAATTCATTTCTTCCCTGGCAACTCCTTCAAAAAAAACTTTTACCTACAGCTACTGTAAATGTTTAAAAAAAAACTCAAATAAATGATATAAGTGAAGCACTATAAAATGCTCAAACCTCCTCAAGCTAGGTGCTAATAAAGGCTCTGTGCTTTTGTCAGAGTTCTTTCTACTTGAATAAGGATGATGTTTAAAACCACACGCTGTAAAGGATTCAAGGATCAAATAATTCTATATCTTAAATGATTCATCAAAGCTTATAAATTTTTAATAATTGGTAAATATGCAAAGTTGGTGTACAAAACACATACATACATGTTTGTTTTACAGGGAGTTATTTGCACAAATGGAAAAGAACTGATTTTCAGGGTTATATTATTTCTGTAATCTCTATTTTATTTAATAGGAGACCACTTCCTTTTGTAATATAAGATGTGGGAGTTCTTGATTGCACTATAAGGCCTCATACTGCCAGAAACCTTACAATACACCTAATTTTAAACTACGACTGAAATAACGAATGTGTTCACAAAGGAGTTTTGTAGGACAGGTATTGAATATATTTTTAAAGAATTAACAGCAAGATCTTAGCTAAGAAAATTACTCAATCAAAACTGAAAGGGGCTTTGGAGTTCTATACCCTGAGGTTATTTACTCTGAAACACTAATGTACTTATGTTCATTTTGGTGTTCCATCACACAAAATAGCATTGGGTTCCATTTCATTGGAGAGATGTGACTGACATCTTGAAATATATGACAAAACACGAAGTGTAGTGGTTTGAATTGTGAATTATTGTGTTCCCACCTCCCTAATCTTAAGAATACAAAATATAAAATACAGTTAAAAAATAAAATATAAGTAGCAGGCACATCAATAATTTAATTAATCTCAAGCTGCTGAATTTCTAAACATAACTATGCAGCATATTACCTACTGCACTAACAGTAGCACACAAAAAGAATTATCCCATCAGATCAAACCTTGGCATCCGTCTACAAAGTCCATCTCCACATTCCAGCCTTGCCCTACACACAAATAAAAGCCCTCACAAGACATTCAACAAACTGAGGAATAGAACGACTCTCATGACACTGATCCATTTCAGTTTTTACAAGCTGTAGACTGCTAAACATGTATCTTTATATTTCAGCTAATTAACATGATCGGCAAATTTGCACTCACATGACAAACATATGAGGTTAAAAATGAAATACATGAAACAGATCGAACTGCTATGCATTAGGAGTCCTTTTTGATTTCCCCCAAACTTATTTTTTTTAAATACTCCCATAAAGGCTTACTGCACACATGTGCATCCTTCTCCCAATATCCTGTTTCACGATATTTTACTGCAGAAATGCATCTATCCCGAACTGGCACTATGCAACCTTTTACCAAGAAGCTGCTGACGAGCTGATTAGATCTCTCTCATAATCCCACTCCCTGCTAGAAACATTCCTATGGACAAAGACTCTTTTTCAACAGATACACCCCCACGTGGAATGTACTTCGAGTAACAGGAATATTCATAACATTTAAAAAACCTCTGTCACACACCCCGTCTTTGTGGGCCTGTAGGTGACACACTTCCCCCTGGTTCAGAAATTGCACTACGATGACAGGCGCCACTCCGCTGGAGGAGATATCATTCTTCAGATGAGATGTTAAATGAATTAGTCATGTCTGTCTGTGATCAGTAAAATCCCATGGACCTTTGTCAGATAGGCCACTAACACTATTTAAGCTCAATCTAGCTTAAATAAATGCTCCTCTCAATTAAATTCTTGCTTGTCTACCTGATCTTTTGTAAGCCTCCCAGGCGGGTGCTGGATTTAAGTAGTGACTAAAGTAAGTTCCTTCCTACAGGCTAAAAACTTTAGGTCCTCTTGAACAAAAAAGCACTGTTCCAATACAAAACATCATTAGGCACAATAATTATTACTAATCAATACCGGCATCGCAGTAAGGCCTACAAGCATACTTCCATTTCTCATTTTTTGCGTAAACATGCTCTGTTTATATCTCGATCAGATGTTGTTAATAAATTCATCTTTCCTGGCTTATCGGTCCCCACACCATGTCACACAGTGAGAGCAGTTCTGGTTTCTCCTCTTCACTTCTTGCCCAGTGTACACAGAGTCTCTGTTTCACTCATGGATCAGTCCTGATCTGTTCTTGATGATGATAGAGTACAGTGGCTATTTCCTTCTGCCTTGCACCCAGCTCTGGCCCTCCTTGCATCTTTTAAATGGGACCTTTGTTTCCTTTAGATTTCCCTGCAGGACAAGCCCCCCCTGTCGATCGCAGCCAGGCCTGGGCCAGGCCAACGGGTGGTGTGTTTGTGCGTCAGTGCCTCAATTCCTCCTCCTTCATGAGCAAATACAGCAGGAGAAAATACTCGATTTTGTTTAACAATAGAGCTCCTGCCATGTGGACACACCACTCAACCTGAGCCAGAGCTGTCCTGTGGCTGGATCTTTTCACCTCTGTGTGCACATACCCAGGGAGTGTTGCTCTTTTCCTTGATGAAACTTTGAGCACTTAAGAAAGGACTTTTTAAGACAAATGTAGCCAAGGAGCAGAGCTGACAAACCTGTGTCTCAGCATCTTCCCAGACTCAGTTACAAACCAGGATTTGCTCTTTTCTGAGGGCTACCTTTACCAATTAGCTAATCACTGCATATGACCCATATTAAATATCACTCATCCGAGGCAAAACACATTACAGAGTATAATGCCAACTCTTTGGATTCTGTGTGACAGGTCCTGAAAAAGAAAGAGGCTGTTCTCTCACCAGTGAAGGATACTAATTTCAGCCTCCTTGGGAAAGGAATTATGTTCCTACTGAACCTTAAGAAAATGACTAGGTCACACTCCACTCAATGACACTACACTTAATTTACGTTTTTCCATGTTTGAGGTATTTTTAATGAAAGGGTGCTTAAATATTCTGTCCAAATAATAACTGAAAATTGTAAAACCAGGGTCTAGGTTCAGTTTTTGTCTGTACTGTATGTGTGGCCTTGTAAGACTCCAAATTAGTCTCCCTCACTAATTTACAAAATGTTAATTTGACTAATGATCCCAGTAAAGACAGAGATCCCAATGCCATGTTTCCTTGTTTGAGTAACTTTATACTAACAAACAACATTATTTTAACAACCACTCTATTGTTTATTGTATTTTCTATATTTCATGAGAACTTACGAAGCACTATACATGATAGCAAACAAAAAACAGGTGCATGTTAAGTTAAAGTAGTACATTAATCAAAATCTAGAGGATAAGATTGAGTTTTTAAGACAGGAGTTGAAAGTGCTGAGTGACTTGCAATATCAGATAAGGACTGGGAGATCATTCCACAGTCTGGGAGCAGAAGAACAGGAAGTCTGGTCTCTTGGGGTCCCACAGGGTTCAGAGTCCTGTACTGGGAATTCAAAGAGGGCCAAAGCACCAACAGTGCAAATAACACGGACCTGCATAGAGAGTTAACAGCTCACTGATGTAGCCAGAAGCCACACCATTCAAGACCTTAAAAGGTAAGTAGCGGCACTTTGAATTTCATTCTGAAAATCCACATATTCGGTGTCCCTTCTAGCAACGTGGTGACTTGTCCAAGCAGTAACATTTACACAAAGGCAACAATCTTACAGATCAGATTCTGTTGCTTCTTGAGTTTTGATACTGTAGATGCATAATGGCTTTGTTAAGATTAAATTCTGAACCGCATTCACGAAAGTGTTACATTTAGACTCATACTCGAAATTGGATTACTTCACAATAACCATTTAATGCATTCCTCTGCAACTCCTAAATTGGATCAAATGAATAAAAGCTATTGGACTAAGGAGAGAGGAAGGACAACTGTAAAATTAACTGCGAAACAACTCGCATCCCAGAGTGGTCAAATTATTTTACGACGTTCTACTGCACGTATTGTACTGAGACACGTCAAATTTCATCTGAATATCAACTCGAAGGCTTGTCTGCCAAGCAAATACACAGAAGTCAAAGCAGGAATGCACTCCATTCGACTGTCATGAAATACTCGGCTCAGCTATGTGATTTTTATTCATCTCCAGACTGTGGAATGAGACCAGCTGCTGTCCCCCGGCATGAACAGACAGCAGACCGAGGGTAAACTGATTTACAAAGCCAATCGATACACTTTCCCCCGTTCCTCCCCTTCCTTTGAATTATTTACAATTCAAGGGCCGGGGACAGATGCACTACAAGCCCGTATCTGTAAAAAAAAAATCCAAGGCATATCTTAGCTGCTTGAAAGTCGTTTTCTTACCACAAGTTTGCAAGCGCATTAAACGGTACAAATCAGCCCGGAATGACGATTTAGTCTGCGATTGAAAGAAACCGAGAAAACAGCGTTGAGAGCTTCGCAGCCGGTCTCAGCCCCGGACTCCTGCAGTGTTAAATACCCTTGCACCTAGCGTTACTTTCGCCTCCCACTCGACTTGCTAGCAACGGAGTGCAGATTTATTTCTAACCAACAAACCCCGGACTGTGGACAACGCTGTTCCTGCCGGACATTTCTGAGAACCGTGCTCTGCTTCACACAACGACCTTGAAGAACCCGTGTCCGACTACCCCCGTGATTCCTTGCCATTATAAAAATCCCCGGTTTCCCAAACGGGTCCATATTTGTTGTCAAAACAGCAATTCCTCGGATCCCCCTACCTTCGCTGTGCGTGTATCCCTTACAGGGACACGGGTGTGGTGAGGAGACCTCCTTGGCTCTGCTTCAGTGTCGACGACGGTGTTAAATCCCCATGGTTAACGGTGTAGTCAAGACGCTGGATAGCAGTTGCTAATTGTTTATGCTGGCATCTAGATGTGTAAAAAAAAATCGTCCCTTTTCTCCTTCTCTGCTGTCACCTCAGCATCTCCTGCGGCTCCGTGGTGACGTCACGGCCTACCCTCTCTGCCACCGGCTTGCGCGCGCGCTCCCTAGCATCGCAACAGACGGGTCGGAGGCGCGCGCCTGTGCTGTTCAAACGTGCCCGCGCTTTAAACCCTTCCCCTCCCGAACATCAGGACAGCCCAATGACCAATGAGAGAGAGGACTGTGGGCTAACGCCGCAAGCGATTGGTCAGAAGCGAGTTTTCAGTTCCTGGTAAAGTGGCTGGGCTCTCTCCAGAGTCCAACGCATTCATTGAATGAAGGTTTCCTAAATTGTTGGGAACGATACATGGAACTGTACACAATTTCCCGGTGACAATTTAAGATTTGACTGTCTTTCCTCCATAGATAATATATGGCGGTTTTCTATTGTTAAGCCCATATACCTGTTCTAGGGAAATGAATTACATAAAAATACAAAACATGGTTAAACACGCTAATACGTTAGGGGGTACCTACTGGGATTTTCTTACTTATTTTCGTCTAAAGAGTGTCGTCTTATTCAGTAGCAAAATACACTGGATAAAGGAAACAGAATTACGAAGAACTGTTTCCTAGGCGACAGGATATTTCGTAGCTAGGGATACGCCTTGGTACGATGAGATCCCTGGGAGTCGTAGTGCGACTGAAGGACAGGAAGGCTTTCGCTACTACAGCGGCAGCACCTGAGATCCCTGAACACACGACAGACTTTCAATGGCAAACCATTTAATTTAATTTAATAAAGTAATTTAATTTACTTGAAAGGTTCGCAGAATAAGCTTCGAAAATAATTTGTTAATGCGTAAATACAGCGTTAATTAAATGTGATGAATTCACATTGTTGATTTACTTCCACAATGAGGCTGTAGTGAGCTTCATTTTTAAAGTTTACCTTTATGATTTATAACTACCTGTTATATACAGTACATATTCCTGTCGCGTTCCTTCATTTACAGATCATCCTTATTTGCACACACTCCCGAAATATGAGAACTCCAAACGATTTTTTTACAGCAACACACATTGCATTTTTTTCGTAGGTTTTATAGTTGCATGATTTTAAGAGTCATATAATCAAAGTACTGTATGATATGGAGTTATGGCGCTCGAGAATTCATGTCACGTCGGAGGTGCGGACAGGTCTAAACAGCAATCCGCTAATTATTTTTTAGCAAAAAAAAAAAGACGATGTATTTTTACATTGCACCTATCGTCACCACATGGAAATACAATCCTCGGCAATCAGAAATCAGGTTGGATGTGTCTGAATTACTTTTTATGCAGCTTCAAACATTTTTAGTCAAAATCTGTTACGTCCTACAGTATATTCAATACTGTAATTGTGAATTAACAATACTTAACAAAAACTTTCATCTGAGTCAAATATTCTTATTTAACGGCTCTTTCGTAGGACTAATTAAAAAGTCCAGATTTTACTTCTGTTATAGACCCAAAACATTCTGATGAGTGCTGATATTTTTCCTGCATGCTCTCCACTTCAGGTGTCTGGCACAAACATCACGTTTTTTGATGCAGGAGTCCCAGTCTTAGTCCTGGAGCTCCGTAACCCTGTTGGGTTTCATTCCAGCCGAGGCCTTGGCTGAAGTAACAAGGTGATTTGTGGGGGGTTTATTTTACTAAACAGCTAAAAGGGTGATATCCAATATAGAGATTAAATCAGCCATTCCTATTATTAAGTCAATCGCTGGTTCAATTGTGGAACCGAGAGCTTTTTCCAAATTGAAAAAGTTCAAGTAGGTAGCTGCGTCAGCATGCGTAGGCTGCAAAGGAATAAGTAAAGGTTTATTCCATGCTGAAAAGAGAAGGCTCCACAGCCGAAACGTTGTTTCTTCTCTTTTCAGCATGGAATAACCCTTTATTTGTTCTTAACTGATAGTTTACTACCTTATCTAATCATTCCCTCATTTAGACATTTTTCAAAAGTACGGCTCGAAAGCACTCTGAAATGTCAAGCTACATAAGATATCTGAAATTTGAAGAAAGCAAAAAAAGGTGTTTCAATATGACGTTCAAATAAGTAAGGATAATCTAGAATATCTCATTCGTTCGTTGTTGCGTGACTTTAAAAGACCTAACTTCAAAGTTTCCCTTAAATGTAGTACGATAATTAAATTTCAGATGGTAAATTGAAAAGGGCTACGAGTTCTTCACTGCGTTTTACTCTTAAAATAATCTGACACTTTGAAACGAGAAGAAAACGCACCCAGGTCACCAACCCGTAGAATGCACGGGTTTAGATCCAGCAGTCAACAGCGCGCCCCCTTCTGGCCAACATGCAACAGTGTGGAGTCCTGACTAGAGCTCTGTCTGATTAATCCTGGGTGTATCATGAATGCTGTAACCTCGACCTACTGTAGATGATCGGCACTAATTGCTCCTGTAAAAGGTTAAACTATATCAATCAATGAAAACGTCAGTCGCTTTGAATAAAAATAATCAGTATACTGCCAAAACCTTTCAATGGTAATAACTATGTTGATCGGGATTGCTGTATTCAATTGTAAACGTTCATATTGTTGTGTATATTCAATGCGACAAGAAGATAAATATATTATTTGTCTTTTGTAAACGTTACTATTAGCTGTAAATTAGTTTGGTTACTGATGAGTATCATTCAGTTTAAACTGTGGTGACGAGAGACATTCTGCGACCGGAGGACTTAAGTACACGCTAAAATGCAGAGACCAGTGAAAATAAGATGCAGGAGCCCCAGAATGCGCGTTCTCTTTACGAATATTGCATTCTTTTGCCAAAATGCAAATTCTCTTTACACTACTCACATGGGATAGTGGCACCTCATTTTAGTTAATAATAAACCACTTTTTCCATAAATCACTAAAACTAAACACAACTACAACAACACGAAATATAAATCAAATATTATATCGGTGGTCGTGAATTTCAGATTCATAGGGTTTTAATCCAGTTATTCCCTGACCGAAAAAAACGGTTAGGAAATGTGTCGCCACGTTACGACGCACAGGCGGCGTCCTAGTTGCTCAAGGATGTCAGTGCGACGTCACACGCACGGCCAACGTGAGACGTCACACGCTGCTACTCCAGATTAACTAGGATTTTTGATTAAAACTGTTAAGACGTAGATTTTAAGGCATATACTGTAGGCGTATAAAAAATGCCTTCAAAATAAACAATTGAGTAGAAATACAGATGTTAGTCCGCTGCATAATATTTTGCAGCTGTGGGTTCGTTTTAAAGCTGCGCCGATCTGCAGGTGATCTGCGCAGACTTGTGCTAAAATAACTGCACAACAGACGGTGCGCAACAGCGGCCAGGCGAAAAACGCAAACCTGTGCAGAACTGCGGGCATCTGCGCTACAATAACGTAATCCTAGTGGCTATTACGTTTTCCATAATTCGGCACTTGAGTGCAACATCTTAAGAATAAACTATTTTAGGTGGTAGGAAAACTATGACGTGCTTGTCGGTGTCATCGTATTATTATGGAAAAACAGAATGACGGTACGGCACTATGCAGCTGTTGGGGACAATAACAGTAACATTTGGCCCGCTGTAGTTGAATAGGGACTGTGTTGCGGAAGCAGGAAGCGCCATGTATTGAAGGCTTGCGCGTGCCGGCGAAGCAGAGGGCATGCCCACATATCACAAATGGGGACGCTTTAGCACTGCTGTGATTTCACCTGCTGTTCCCGGCGACCGGAGCTTGCTCTGTCCCCGCTTTGCTCAGAGTCTATTATCTGCCAGGATGCTCAAGATATTCAGCGGCTTGGTCATTGGAGGTCTCGTGTTAGCCTGCTTGGCATCATTGCTACTGGATGTGTACGATACCTCACGGTTCCCCAAGCCGACTCGCAAAACAACCAATGAGACAGACTGGAATACCATCCCTCCTTATCCCGGCGAGGAGCCGGATAATATCTTCTGGTTTCTGCAGGTAAGGATCTGCACACAGTAGGTATGTGCGCTGAGCTCATAGAATTTACGTCAGCTCAACCTAATGTGAAGACAGTTTGGGCATGTCAGGTCACTATACACTATAACTGATATGTTATTGCAGGTGGTTTCCTCGTAGTACGTACAGTAACACGATTATATTGAGCAGGTGAAGCCATGGGCTAATGACATCTCTGTCAACCAAAACGAATAAAGAAACTGGTAATAATAAATTATCTGTATCGATCTTTGAGAGTACAATACACAATCTATTGTCAGCGATTTGTTGTTTTTAAAATTAGGAACTAACTACAAAGTCTTACTGAGATCAGGATCTCTCAATCGCAACATATTTCCAACTTTTAAAACAGGAGAATAATATATTTAAGTAGCCAAGATTCATTTTAAACAAGAACATTTGTTTAAAAAAAAATGCCATACCCCATGGGTGGCATGGTAGCACAGGGGGTTAGCATCCCTACCTTGCAGCACTGGGGCCCTGGGTTCAATTCCTAGGGTGCTATCTGCATGGAGTTTGTGTGTTCTCCCCTTATTCATCTGGGTTTCCTCCAGGTGATCCTGGTGTTCTTTCCCAGTGTTCAAATACACAGCGGTAGGTTAATTGGCTTCTAGGAAATTTGGCCCTGGTGTGAGTGCGTGTGTGTTTGTGTCTGTCTGCCCTGCAATGGACTGGAGTCCGTGTATCCTGCCTTATCCCGTTGCTGTCCAAGATAGTCCCTGATCCCCCAAGTCCCTGAATTGGGGGAAGTGGTTAGAAAATGGATGGATGGATGATCAACCATCATGTCTTTAAAATCTTTGTATGGAAGAAGAAGGTTCGTAATTAAGATGAAGGTCTAAAATCAAAACCCAGTTTGTCTTCTGGAAAGCTTATCTGTTTGAGGTTTGAAAATAAGAGATTCATCTAACCTCAGTAGTTTAAGCTTTTTCATTTTTCTTAAGACATGGTGAATGACAGTAGTTCAGTCTTAGATGATTTTTGCAATCCTTCATTCAGAATGGCAGTACTAATTAAAACGGATCGGTGTTTTTGGTAATCTTCTAGTGACCTATTCCCAAGTAGGGATACAATCTACTGTCATTATCAATGTTGCCTGTGTGCAACATTGGTACATTCTGACCTATATTATTAATGTTTAGTAAATAATAATTAGCCTAAACTGGAACTACATGGCTCTCCTTTATGCTGATTTAGGAACCTAAAGATTTCAGTCCTGAAAAATCAAATTTTAAATAATCTGGAAACCACTGTATAGTATTATAATTTAATAAGTGTAGGCAATATTAATGTACAGTATTGTCTATAATGAATCTAAAGCTTTGGAAAGACCATTTATATATATATATATTCAATAGGCTACAGTGGAGAGTTATTATCCAATTCTTGGAGAATTGACTTTATTCTTGGTAAAAACTGAAATTTGAATTCTTGTTTAATTGTTAATAAAATTGTGAATGACAAGTAGAATTGTTCAAATATCTCATTATTCTGTGCATTCATAGACATGATATTTATTGAGTCAAGTGTCGGTATTATTTATGTGAACATAATATGTTATACACTGCTTTGTCAATGTATTTGTAATCCAGGTGTCGGACATCCATATTAGTCGTTTTCACGATCACAGAAGAGTTCCAGACTTTGAGAAGTTTTGCACAGAAACAGTGGACATCATTAAACCCGATCTAGTCCTCGCAACCGGTAATCTCTTCTTCATGAAAATCTCAAAGTGTGGAGAGAAGTCATAAAATTTTATAGACCACCTAGGGAAATATTAGACTCCATTTCCTGTTTGGTATAGATTTCTTCTGCTAAACTGTATTGTGAATATGTATTGCCTAAAATTCCATTCTTGGTAATGTTGGGGCTTGGGCTATGATCGATATCCATTTTTATTTATTTGATGACTCAGAGCCCTTATTCAGAGTGACATTCAGAATAAAAAGTAATACATAAGACTGACAGTCCTGCCTTTGTTAATAATTCAGCATCAGCTGAGTCCTGTTGTAACTGGTTCATCTCTCCAGGGAATAGGAGGGGGAAGGAGGCTGGACCGGACATTATTATATGAATTATTGAGACACAGAACCATATGCATCAATCAATTAGTGCTGCCATATTCCGTATTTTAAAGTGTTCAGCGTCCATGAGTCCTGTGATTACATGGTAGCATACACCTTCAGTATGATTGGAGTAACACTTAGCAGATCAGAATTCTGGGACAGGTCAGAACTGTTCAGAGTGGACACACACTGTTCTTTGTGTAAAGGATTCGGACTTGAGGCACCTCTTTGTGTTTGCTTTCCTGTGTCAGGGGACCTGACAGATGCGAAGACCGAGAGCAAGGTGGGCTCTCTGCAGCACGAAGTGGAGTGGCAGGCCTACCACAACGTCCTGAAGCGCTCGAGAGTTCTGGAGAAAACCAAGTGGATAGACATTCGAGGGAACCATGGTACGAAAAGCAAATGCAGGGTGTCATTGCTACAGGCATGCACTACAGGCGAACATTAAACCATTACCTCCATCTTCTCTACCTGTTTTTAATTTACATGATTGAAGCATGATTGAAGTTATGCTGACGAGGAGACAATCTGTAACGTTTTTTAAGCTGTTCTTTTTATAGAACACCAATGATATAGTGTAATTACCACATGCCAGCATTTTAGATAAAAGAACGTATTTCATCTGGGTGCGTGCCAGAATTTGAATTTAGCCAGGAAGAAAATATGCAAAAACAACAATCAAAAAAAGAGGGTGGATTCATGTAAATGAAGAAGGATGTTGTTTAAGAACACGATGGAATGTTATGACTTGAATCTGTCATAACATTACGTCACAAATTTCAGATGTAGTGTGGGAGATCCCAGAATATGTTTCCTTCTCTTGGTAATCTGCTTTCATGCAGTGCAACCTACCCTTCAGCCTTCTGTATTCTCAATGTGGGTACAGTATACGTAGGACTGGGGTGCCCAGCTCCAGTCCTGCAGGACCAGAAGGGTTCAGGTTTTCCTTACTCCTAAGCCCATAATTACCTAATTGAAGTAATTAATTTCTTACTGTCCAAGTTGAAGCGTTTCCTTGTTCTTAGGAAGATGGAGAATTAAAGAGACATGTAAAATCTGAACATCGGCCTGGTGTGCTGGAGTTAGGCTCCATTGAAGAAAGACATATTTGGTCAAATGACTTCCTATTGTTCTCATGTGTTTAAAGAAACACTAGGTCCATCTCTAGGTCCCACAGCATGTAGATTTCAGGTAGAAGTAATTGTCTTCAGGAAATATGAAGGCAATGTACTTTACCTTTCATCATTTAAAGACTTTAAATACTCAAAACTATACATTATTATTTATTTATTATTTGTTTTTTTTTTCCTCTTGGCACTATTGATTTTAAGAGTGTTTGTTTCAAAGAGGGGAGGTGTAGAGTCGTGGTTAGGACTTGGGGCCCCCAGCTGGAAGATTGTGAGCACTGCTGTTGTACCCCAAACAATGTCCTTTACCCCAGTTACTCTAGTCCATACAACTGTGAAAATGGACACCCACATTTTCTGGGGATAACCCTGCCATGAATTATCATCACAGTTGGGGGTGGGGTTGTCATGGGCTTTCAGTTTGCTTATTGCCATGGAAACTAGAATGGGCTCTAGTCAGGTGATGAGTCCTACACAGTTCCTAGCTGGTTTGCAATACAGGATTAGCTTCAGCTAAGCTGAAGCACAGAGCTGTAGCGTTGTAGGGTTGCCATTTACTGTACTAGCAATGCCACCTTTCATATTCCACAGCGAAAACTGAAAATGAGCTTGGTATTTACGTCCCTGCTGTGCATCAAAGACCCTAATTATAAAACCTCTTTGACAGCGGTACGCAGCAGAAGATCTGGTTTCATTATTATTAACCCAAATCAGCAAGCTCCTTGGCTCAGGACAGCAGGATAAGGCAAATAATTGCCTGCAGATATACTCCTGAGGAGTCACAGACTTTGGGTGATTGCACATGCTCAGTTCAGGAGTCCTTTCTCCCCTTGAATGGGCAGAATTAAAGACATATTTCCACAAGAGAAGAAGCGTCCCAAGGCCTTAATCCATGCATCAGTAGACGTTGCAATAAATTGTATTAATAAAATGAAGATGTGACATTGTTAGATTGTTTTGGGGGGTAATGTGAGATTTTCCTCTTCTGTGCCATTTTATTTTTTTCAGGAAGTAGCATTAGCCTTCTAGAATTAGCAGCAAAGTTCCTTAAAATGTAATCGCAAGATTTGCTGGATCCCTAAAAGTAGCTTTGTTCTGTCACATTTTCCAGCTCTAAACCAAAAATGATGGTCCCCCATACACCCCACATTCCTTTACTTAGCACCGGTATGAGCTTTCAGATGGGCTAACTGAATTACTAACTTGAGTAACTTGACTTGAGAAGAAAAGATTGATTTTGATGAAGAAACAAACTTATTATTTGGTATTAAAATCATGAAAAGCACATGTAGCTGATGCACAATTAGGAGTTTCATTTGCTTTATAAAACACAGCCTACTGTAGTTCAGATTTTAAAGCTGTCTGAATATTTCCCTCAGAGTACAGTTAAGATACACTGCTTACGGAGGAAGTACCAAACACTTATGTACCTGTTTGAGTGTAAAATGAAGCATTTGATAAATCGTGATGAATATTTCATCATAAAATTGAAGAATTTCATCATCACAGAAGTGGCATGATTTTAGCTCTGGGCCTGGCTCATTTGAAATGCAGCCTGTCAGTTTGCACAGGGTACTGACATTTATATAACATTTATGTGCATGTGTATTAATGTCTCATCCGAAGAATGATGCTTCCTATAGAGCTGTATTCATGTTCGTCATACGGAGACATTGTTTTTGAAATTCCTCCAGAGGGAAGAGTGCCACCTACTGGTCCACAAGCACTTCTTGCAGTGATAGCCAGGATTTGTCTGAAGGTCTCTGTCCCATCCAAGTACTTACCAGGCCCAGCCTTTCTTTCTGTAATTTAGCTGTTTTGTAACTTTTGAATTTTAGAAGGAAATGTGCTGAGGACAGCACTTTTTTTTCCAAATAGTTGTCTTTCTTTCTAGATGCTTTCAACATTATATCTGTGGACAGTGTCAACAACTACTACAGGTAAGAGGCTGGTCCTACCTTCTCTTTGCATGCATGTCTCTAGCAATGCTATAGAGGCAAAGATAATTTATCATTACTGGTTAATAGAAATATTGCCAAGAGGTTCATGAAGAAAGATTGTACCTCAAAATACTCTAGAATGCTGCACAGACACATTAATATTCAGGAACATCAGTGCCAGTCTGAATTTTTACAACAGTCTGTCTTCATTTCCAGTAACCTATGTTGCTGTTTTGTCGATTCAGGAAATACTCTTCTAATCAGAAAGTGGGCTCCTTTCACTACATCCACCAGACCTCCTTTGGAAACTACTCTTTCATCTGTGCTGATGCCACTCTAACACCAGGACCCAAAAGGCCCTATAACTTCTTTGGAATTTTGAATCAGGTAGAGCTAAATTTTTCTGGCTTTCCGGCACACCAACCACAGTGCCTAAAAGTACAAAGGCTCCAGTTTTTATTCACTGCAAATTTGGAAAAAGAGAGCATAGCAGTGGAAAGAAAATAAAGGTAGTTTAATTCACAATTGTTTCACACGGGCTTGGAAAATGGATAGGTGCTCATTTTTTCTTAGCACCTGAGCAAATGTTACTGCAGTGCAAAGCATTGTGGTGGTCAGTTTTTTTTTAAGGATATACTAGACAAGTGGGCTGTGTACCCACTTAAGAACGTTATGAAGGAAGGGCACAAGGCGGGTATGTTACATACTACTACACTACACACAGTAGATGGCAGATGCAAAATATTGGAAGCAACATCGTCCTGATCTTTAAGCCAACACCTGTCCATTTGTCAGAAGGCAATTTGGTTGGTTTAAAGATGAGGATGGCAGGTCAAGTATGATTGCCTTTTGGGAAATATGGTTAATACATGAATTGCCATCTTGTCTGCACCTCCTGCCTTCTTACCAATAAGAGGAGGCCATTCGACCTACAGTATCTAGACCATTTGATATTGGCTGACAGATCTGAGATCTCATCCGGCTGTTTCTTGAGAGAAGCCAGCTTCAACACCATGGCTTGGTAGCTTGTTCCATATTCCCACAAACTTAAATTACAAAACAAAAGTCCTTTGAAATAGGTCTGGATGTACCACAGAAAATACAAGTTAAACAACCTATTTAGAATCAGTTTATATTACAAGAGGTTGACAGAATGAAATATTATTTTAGATGTCCAAACCTGTAATGTCTCTCGCACTGCTTAATACTGATTCTGATGCAACTGTTGTGTAATCTGTAGTTGAAACACTGTTGTCTAGGGGAAAATATGGAAAAGTAATAAAACATTTCTTGCTGTAGAAAATTCTCATCCCACAAAAAACATAGACTGAAGTAAATAACTAGACCCTGTAAAACTCTTCACCTAATCCCATGCCATACAATGGTTTTTAAGACCAATTTATCTAATCAAGTCCATTTAATATCTTTGAAGGCTCAATGAACAGATCTGAAAATAGTCTCTTTATCCCTGTTTAAAACTGTATCTTCTGTGACCCAAATCAAGCTTTAGAATTTACTTTTGACACAGTTGTTTTCTCCTTGCTGAAAATCATGCAGTAACTTAAAATCTGCAACTTAAAAAGTGGTTTTATTTCTTTAGAGGGCTGAAAAGTAAGCCAGTGGCTTTGTATTGTTTAAATTGTAGTAAGCAAATATTTTCCTTTCAGACTCAAATGGATGAGCTTCGCAGCTTTGAATTAGAGAGCCAGAAGAGCAACCAGTCTATCTGGTTCGGACACTATACCACGTCTACCATTATCTCCACCTCTCCTGGGATCCGACAGGTGATGAGGTAATCAGACAAGACGAAGGTGTTTGGTTTTGTACAGGTTGCAGCTGAAGTGGTGTTTGTACACTGTAGATGGCATTATTCCCTCAGACTCCAATCCAAAAGTGATGTAGGGGCTGTTACAAGAGGGTGACAAAATGTTAATCCAGTTACCTCTATTCAAATCAATAAGATTGAAAATCACATTTAACTACCATGTTACGGTGAAATTCAATAAAAATGATTATAAAAAGGCCTACATGAAGTCGTCTTAATATAATTCAGGTCACTGTTTGTTTGCTGTCACTAGGCTCAGTCAGCAAAGGTGCTGTTTGAGTGGTTGGGCCCTGGGGTCCTCCTGGTTCATTCACAATGAACATTATCTTTGACAGTTGCAGACGGTTCCGAAATGTACCATGAGGCATTAAGTTCCTTTAGTACATAACATAGACTTTAAAAATTGCCTCACTGTCTTTTATTCTAACATACAAATATCCTCCATATTGGAGACGCCATTGGAAGTTGAATTTCTTCAGAAATGTTAGGAAAACATAAAAGAAACATAGGGAATGGTAATGTGAAAAAATATAAGTTTCAAATATCAGTCTTGCTTTTTCATAGCTTCACATGTCTTCCTCACTGCCAGTCCCAACTATAAAAGGCTCGTATTAAACTGTATTTAGTCTCCTGCTTTTTGCTCTTGCTGGACACATTTGAACTGATAATATAGACAGAATAAGTTCTTAAAGTGTTTGACTTTAAAGTGAGATAAACGTCCCACTAGATTGGATCTGGAGGGGAATCTGGGAAAGCTTTCCTCAAACCGTCCCGGCCCTGAGTGCCCATTTCTGTCTCGGCTCTACAGCTCGGCTGTGGCATACCTGTGTGGGCACCTCCACACGCTTGGTGGCCTGATGCCAGTGCTGCATAGCCGGCACCCGCGGGGCACCCTGGAGCTGGAGCTAGGAGATTGGATGGACAATCGCAGGTAAGACCACGCTCGTCTCCACACAGTACTTTGTTTGAGCCTCTGGAGGAACGGCTTTTGAACTGGAGCTACACAAAAACTCTCTTTTCTGGGAAGAGGGTGATAATGGCTGAATAATAAGACACTTTAAGGTCTCATGGCTATCCATTAACAAATGATCAAACAGTGGTTCTTACGTCACAGTTTCCCCATATTTTTTCAAAATCCATGGCATTTTTTAAAATTCTTTGCATTCTAACTACAATCTGAAAGGTTACAAGCCAGACAGTAAGCCCTTTGGCCCTTCAACTAGATGTTTCTTGAAAGAGACCAGGCCAACAACATAGCTGAACACCATACACCCTTTGGATAAGAGGTGCTCAAAACACACTTTCATGTGTTTCACTGTTCAGTTTACAATGATTTCTGAATGTCCCCGTGGCCTGAATTCTGTTTGGCAGCACACCAGAGTGGCTCTAAATACTGGCTTCTGAATACCTCCTTGCCTTTATTAGGTACCGTGTGCTGGCCTTGGACCACGACATCCTGAGTTTCTCTGACCTGCGGTTCGAGGAGTGGCCAGTCGTCCTCATCACCAACCCCAAGGCTGCTCTGTATGCCAACCCTGACACCGAGCCCCTGGGCAGGATCCGGCACTCCACACACATCAGGTTTGGGGAATCAGTCTCCAGAGCACCGCATTCATGTTCCCATGATCACCAGGACAAAATAACAGTCAAAGGAATTCCCCCTTACAACTGTATGATGATTGATTTTAATACACCTGGCCATGTTTTCACCACAGTTCCGAGTGTTACAAAAATAAGGCTCAACAAATACACTACAAAGCCAGTGGGTCAGAGCCACAGTCAGTGATGCCAGCAGATTGGCTGAGGTTTTGTCATAACTATTTACATGTTTGGAAACCTTTGAAAATCTGGTTATAATTCAATGTCTGGGGGACTTTTTTCAGCCATGCACAGGTTATAGGCCTCAGTGATTTTTTTCCCCCCTACCTCAGAAAGTCAGTTAATCTTCATGGTATTCTTTGAGTGGCATTTTTCTGTTTTTAATTTTGCTTTAGCAACATATTTCTGCCTCTTTGGGTGCCTTGCCCCATATCTGGTCTCTTGTCAAGGGGAGAACTCCCATCATGAAACATAAACCCCTTCAAACAGATTGTGAATATGTTAGAAATTAAAGCTAGGGTTCTAGGTGCAAACAGTCTATGTAAATGTAAAACAGTCCATGCAAAGTTGTCAGACATACAAAACATAGGTGACCATTAGTCCACAAGCCCACACTGAAAGTATGTGATCAGGATTAGGAACTGTGGAACACTGTGGGGGACGTCATCAGGCTGTTCTTGTGTTGGATCTCGTCAGAATCTTGGCTTTCTCGGAAGCCCCGATCACGGCGGTCTACGTGAGCATCGACCAGAAGCCCTTGGGTGAGGCTCATCCTGTGAAAGGGCCGCTGTATGTGCTGGCCTGGGACCCCAAGAGCTATTCCAAAGGGCTCCACTCCATCAGGGTCAAAGTGGAGGTAAGTGCAGTCGCTGCGTTGGGTTGTGTGGAGGTGTCCTCTTCACTTACTTACCAGGTTGTAAAAACAATTTTTTCATTCGAGTTGCAGTCTTTGAAGACACTGTTTTTCTCAATTACAGAGCAAGAGATGTCGCTCCTTGTAGTCCTGGCTGGTTTTAATGTGAAGTATTTTCTGTTGAAGTTCATATTGGGTGTCCACAGGGTGTGTTTCAAAATCCCAGTTAAAGGAGTAGGTGCCAATTTTGCACAATGTGGTGAACTGAACTGCTCTCAAGATTAGCGTAAAGAAGGACAGGACACTGATGTCATATGTGGGCAGGGCTAGCTTTTCTGGAGACCATTATTGGAGCTCAACAACACACTGATGGTGCTCTCACGCTGCTGAAAACAGTATCTTATCATTTTTCAAAAATGCAATTGAGAAAATAACTAAAACTAGCTGAAAGGCGAATGGTCCATTTGTTATAATGGGTAATTGTCAAAACAGCATAAAAAAATATTATGTAAAAGTGCATTTAAAACCAAGAACTAGAAAAAGCTACTCAGCCACGTTGTGAAAGTCGATGCCCTAGCACTAAGTGCTAAGCTGCTCATTTCACACATACAACACAGACAGACGCATAGACAGATATCTGTTTTTGGCACTAAACGGGACTATCCTTGGAGCTCACAGGATCCCAATAACTGCAAAGTATAGTATTAAATGGAATTATTGAGAGGTAAAATGGAGATGAATTGAGAGATACTTATAAATTTACTGTCCCGTCTTCACTGCATCCTTGCTCCTCTCAGGAGGAGAGAAGAGCTGATCTGCATATCTGACCACAGAACCATCTGCTATTGATTAGCCTGATCTGGTACTAGTCACAGGGCTATCAGTCCCCTTATTTAAGTGTGTTTCATAAGTGCAGTGCTCGAGGCACTTGTTGGGTGGTATTGTGCGACGTTTGTCAGAGAGTAGATTGTATTTGAAATGTTTGAGGCTCACAGGTATAGCATAGCACGGCTTGTGAAACACGTACAGACACAGTTCCGTGAGCTCTGTTTCAAATCAGGGCTTGCTTTAGCTCGTACTCCAGAATGGGGAGAAGCGAAGCAGGGAAGATGAGTAGGAGCACAGCACAGCGTGGCGTGTGTCTCTCAGAGTCTCTCTCTGGACAGGACTCTGCTGGCCGCTCGACAGTAAGAGAGCAGCAGTTCACGCTGGACGGCAAGGTGACTCTGGGCTTCGGGTTCCTGCAGTCCTTCATCCTCCTCACTGACCACTACATCCTGGTGAGAAGCTCTCCTGCTCGCACAGCTGCCTACAACAGCACTGACTGTTTCCTGTGTGTGTTTGTGACTCATTTCCTGTCTACATTCCTACCCTGAAGGACAGTCCCTTCTTATGAACAGATGAACTGCAGTTAAATGGGAAAAGATCATCTGAAAGTGGGGTCTAGGCCATGTCCATCAACAATGTTATGATCTGCAATCCTAAAAGATGAAAACTGTTAATGTCACCAAATCAAAAAGAGACCTTTCTTCAGCCTTGTAACATTCTGAAATGTGACATATTTACACCATAAATGGTTCTTTATTTTATTTGGAACAAACCAGTGGATTTTATAATCACTTATACAGCCCTTATATAAGGTATTTACTTAAAGAATTCTTTCAAATGTTTGTCTGGTTTGCCTTTTCCATACACGTACAGTCCCATGATGTCTGCAGAGGTAAGTTCCATATGTGCTTATAGAAGTTTATTATTTAAAAAAGTATATAATTTAAGTATTTTATTTCACGTCCTGATTCATCTGTGCAACATTTCTGTGACATCAGAAGAACAGCTGAATTTAATTGAATGATTCTTGACAGTGAGCAGTGTGAAAAGTGTGTGTGTGTGGGGGGGGAGTTTTGTCTTTTAAGAAAAAATAATGAAAAATATGCAAACACCCATATCACTAAAATGACAAGATATATGTGACATACTAGGGAGCACAAAAAACAATAGTAATTGTGTGCTATGCAGGGCCTACACCAGATGCTTAGACAGTTTTTTATTATGTTTCTAATACAGATATAAACATGATCTGGCAAAACTTGGCTGTGTCTATTGGTGCAACTGTACAGCATTTTGTTTTAAAGCTGTGAAGTAGTTAAACATTCCCACATCAGGCAAAGAAACCAGGGATTTAAGAACTGCAGCAGATCTTTCTTCAGGAGAAATCGATTCTTCCCTCCCCACAGTGATAACCTGTAATCTCTCTGATGCGTACCTGCTTGACGACTCCCAGGCGTGCTGGAACCGCGGTTTGACAGCATTCTTCGGGACTTGTTTGTTTTTAGGCTAGAGTCGCCTTTGTGTTCCTGGTGCTGTTTAATGTTGCCCTGATTGTGGCTTTCCGCTACCTGGGAACCCCCTCTCTGAGAGGTAAGACGCAGGCGTTTGTCCGAGCTCCTCTGATTTCTGTTCGGCACAAGGCACACCTTCTCTCCACGCACATTTTTCTTGCTCCCCCGATACCTGACAGAAACACATTTGCAGATTTTGGGATGTTTCCAGCTTGTCGTTTAATACCCTTGTTCAAATCTGCAGTCTTATGAAGTCTTTTTTAGAAATTCCTATCATGCCATATATTTTAAATGGGGACATTTAAAAGTATGGAGACCTTCAAAATTACCTTTTGATTTATTAGCGTTTTTTATTATCTCTCATTATTTTAATCATGGAAAAGCTTTCATTTAACTTTATGAAGTTCAAATTAGATCATTCTCGATTGCAAACTTAAGATGTAAGTTCCTGCTCTGGCATGAGTTTACAAGCACAGATCGAGTAGCATATCCTTCTGATTTTCCATCTTGCTCTGCAGTCCTGAAAACCTATTTTAAAAAATAAAATTGAAAAATAAAGTCAAACATTTCCCCCTTAAGTTGTTTTTTACTAAGTTGCAGAAAATGGCTGGGTAACTTCATACTGAGGAAGAATGAACACAATAACTGCCAGAACAAGTGGCAGGCAATGCAAAAATTAAACATTAGAAGTAATTGTTTGAACCAGAAAACAATAAATGCAGAAGAGAAAGATTATAAATGAAAGCAGGTTGTTTGGGACTGTGTAACAAACACAGCAGACACTCAGATTCTGCTCAGACTCTACTGTTGCTCTTTTTTTACTTGATGTAATTACTGATTTGGTCCTTCAGTTCAAGACCCATAGAAATAACAGCAACTTGTATTTCTTGAACAGTAATTGTAATTGTAATTGTGCTGTAACTGTCTGCTCCTGAACTACTTTAAAACATTCTAAAGTTTTTATTGTATTTGTTTTTTGCCAGGATCTACAGGTTTCTACTCCCAGGCATGTCTGTCTCTTCATGTTTTCAGCAAAGCCAACATGTTCTACTACTCTTTACTGCTCTTCAACCTCTACACTGCCTTTGGTGAGGCCATAGTACACGTTGCACTGATGAGATAAGAAGATAAGAAGAGTCCAGTTTAGTGCCCTTTTTAGACATTCCAGTCGCACATTCTCTTTGCTGTCTTTCACATAGTTTAGTCCAATGCCATAACTCAGGCCATTGAGCCCCAGTGTTTATTTTCACAGATTAAAGAAAAGTGTTCTAAATTCAGTCTACCTTGGGCAATTTACATGTTCACCTGTCTGGACTTTAAGGCTCCTGCAATATCTTTGCTGTTTTATTCCATCATTAGGAAAAGAAACTGTAAAGTGTTGTTAAAATGCTCTTTAATTTTCCATTAATGTTGGTGTAGTTGGTAAGTGTTGTCCATACCAAGGAATTTTTCTGAAATAGCAACCGGCTGTAATGTCTTGTTTTTCTTCCAGGTCCCTGGTTTGTTGGCGATGTGATTGATGGCCACAAGGGGGCATGCTTTGCATTTGGGGTGTTTGTGGATGGCCACTTTCTAGAAGGAAGCTTGACGTTTGTGGTAGGAATCTTTCAGGTGTGTGATCTGAATTGTTTGATGGCTAGTAGCTAATTATCTGAGTATATCTTCCTCCTGCTTACAGTGGGTATCAAGTCATCAGCCTCGACAACATAGCTGGGTATCCTGTTCCAGATTCCCATAATCCTTTGTGTAAAGATTATACCTTCTCTTTTTAATTTTAAACAATCTGCGTCATAATACTTGTATGGAAATTAATGAGTTGTAATATATACTTAGAAGGCATTCCTGAACTAAATTGTAGGGGTCACCTTGGACCAGAAGGAGAAGAGCAGAAGTAGTTGAATCTCTTGTTATGTATGGCCAGTATTCGCTAGGAAGCCAGTATACAATAATTAAATAAAACACAGCTAACCCAAATAATTTAAATTAACTCTGGCACACAAATCAAGCTTCTTTAGGACATTCATCCCCTTTCCACATGTTTGGAATGAGATGGGCATGTTTCTTTTTTCATTTTTAACAGAGAAAACACTGACACAATTGGCAAATGTGCAGTCTCATCTGTTTGTGCTTACGAGTGTCCTTCAGTTTTTGCTTCATAGGCTATTTAATGTAATTGTGTAGTAAAGCGCAATAAAAATGCAGCACCATGTATTTAATTGCAAAGCGCACGATTAGAATACAAACAGCTGCTTAGCATTGCCTGGTAGGCCCCTCCTGGGCCGCCCCTGTCATGGGTGTGGTTGTGTTTTTATGAAAATCAGCCCCACATTATTACTCTCCCGCCCCTGAATACTGGCCTGAGCAGGGCAAAGGTCAATAAGACAGTTGCTGGGCAGATCCAGATGATAGCCCTCTTTAAAGACATGAGTATCATCAGAAAATTATATGCCGTCTTTAATCATGTCCACAACAAACTCTGCAGAAATGTGGTGTTCCTGTGTCCTCATTTCTTCTCATTTACGTGAACACTACAATTTTATATTGTACATTCACATTTCAGGTCAACCTAACTGACAATTTGTGCTCAGTTTTACATAGACAATACACACAACAAGTAGCCCAGCTAAAACATTAGCTACCAGTACTCATTATTCATATAGCAGATTCTGTGATCATAGAGGCCATTCACTGCAATGGTCCTGCACTTTCACTGGGCACTGGAATGTTTTTGTTCGTACTTTTGTGTTGTGTGTGAGTTTACACTTATGACCTTCATGTTGTAGTTTTAATAAAAAACATTGATATTCATTGCCTTTTTTATCAAGATTTATTTAGTATACCTACATCATCAGTTACATAACAAGATAACAATATATCAAGAGTTACGTAATTTAACAATATTTGATAAAGGATGTGCAGAGTTAAATTAAAGTATTTCTAATAACTCATAAAAATGAACTTCTGTCCTTAGACACTTAAATTATCTCTGAAAGTATAAACATTTTTTAATTGACCTTCAAGAATAGGAATATTCTTTTTTTAATTGTAATCTTACAAAGTTATACGCCACTGTATTTTTTATTTCCATAATATTATAGTTAAGGTAATTCCTAATTAAGTTGAGTTTTCTTCATTATGTGTCAAAAGAATAGTAGTTCAAAACATTTTTGAAGTAATGGTGGACTTAAAATAGCTTTGTGCAAATCTTCTTTCGAAATAAAAATTAAAACTCCCACTATATGGTGCTGTGCTGTGAATTGCTAATGTCTTCTAAAAAACAGTTGTGTTCTTTGTTTTGTTTCAGGTTGTTTTCTTCAACATGCCCCTGACTTGCTATCTCTGCTGGAGCCTGAACCTGCGTTGTCGCGGCAACTGCTTTCGCTCCCATTTCCAGCGTGCTGGCAGGGTGCGGACGTTGCTGGTAAACCTGACCATGCTGGCGCTGCTGGCCTGGCAGGCGTACTCCTGCATCTTCCTGCTGGAGACATATGGCCTCCTGGCCTTCCTCCTGTCTCCTGTTCGCACCTGGTCCCTGGCCCTCGGCCTGCTCCTTGCCTATAGGGCCTGGACATGTCCTCCACCACGCCTCAGTCAGTACACTGCGGGCTCCAGGGCCAGCTTAGCCTCTTGACAGCTGCTCATTTGCTTTTTCTGTACGTCCGCATTTTCCTTCCTATACTGAAAACACAGAGATTTTCTACAGACTGATAGCATTTATACTGTATTACCAAAAGTCTTGGGACAACAGCCATAGTAACAAACTATACCTGTTGACATTGTATTTAACATAGTGCTCAAGTTCACTCGTGGCCTTACCAATGCTGCAATCCTGCCAGGGATACTTCCCACTACCTCCTGCAGAGTGTTTTTTCAGTGCAGCAGGAGAAGTTAGTTTCTTGCTGTTACAGTTCAACCCACAGGTGTTGTACATGAGTGAGGTCAGTTTTCTCTCTGAAATGTTTTCAGTAAAGTTCTTCCAGAACTGTTGTGTTAAACTCATAGCTTTGACACAGAATTGTGCCAGTAGATGTTCCATACATACTGATCATTTTCGCAAGAACTGTTCAGAATGTCCTAATACATGAACAGGATCAAGGCATTCATTACAAAAAAAGTGGCTGCCCTGCCCAAACCGTGAGACTACGCAGCACCACAGCATCTCCTCCACATTTAACTATAAGCCTTTTGCATCAATGCATTGACAGACACACACTTTGGCTTGTGGATGCCTGTCCTGCGACAAAGTCCTTATGTACGCATTGCAGTTCTTAGCATAGAATACAGACAAATCTGTTGGTGTCTTGATCTCCGGTGTGGTGGTGGTTTTTAGTCCTGACAGACCAGTTTGTTGTTAACACATTTTATGGTTCATACTGTAGGACTTAGTTTCTTCAGTCTTACAATTTTCTCCACAGGGGACTTTAGAAATCATAATGTCTCTATAGTCTTATGCACTCTACCATTCCTTAGACTAACATGCCACTATAAAGCACTTGGCCTCTGACACAGTCCCAGTACTTTTGGTAATGCTGTCTTTATCCAAAAAGATTTGTTACATTCGTGGTGTAATGTCTTCATTGAGACACTGTGAAACACACACCACTGAATGATTTTTTAGAAGCCCCTATTTAAATATGAAAGGCAAAATGAAAAATGTCAGTCTAATATCCACAAATCCCTGAAACTTCAAGGACCAAATGTGGGTGATAATATAAAGGCACAGTTACTCTATTATCATGTCTAAAATTGTATATAAAGGATGAGTCATAACTAATAAGGGATTTTCTTTTAGATAATTGCAGGTTCTGCTTGCAATATATCAGTGTTTTTTTAAGTGCACGCTTTCCTTTATCTACACCATCTACATCTAGGGAAGACAGTTATATCAGTGAATATTATTTATAATAATGTGACTTTATGTAAAGCAGGAAGTCACATTGACATTCCAGTTTTTTGTTCTAGGAATAGCTTGGGTGTGCACTGGGAACAATCTTTAAAAGTAATTGAGACACAAGCTCTTTAGGCAGATACAAGATACAAACCATTACCTGGTTTTAAACTTGGCTCTTAAGAAAAAGGCTGTGGAATCTTCTGAACTGTGGACAAGGCTGCAGTTTAAAGTCTAATGTGAAAGGTACTTCTTGTGCCCTGCTGGAGTACAGAACTAGTGTGGAATTTCTGGTCCAGGGAGATGAGTTACCCTGTCTCTCAGCATTGTATCTCATCTCTCATCACTGTTGTTTACTTGATTATGATATCACGTAAGGAATATTCTCTATTGACTAGATTTCAATTGATGGAAGTTATACTTAGTTAAATGAGGAGATATTGTTTCATCTTAAGAGTTTTAAGTGCTTTCACCTCACTACATCATGTATATTCACGTCTGAAGCTGCACAGAAATGTTTTCTCCTATACCAAAATATGGCGTTATGCGATATTAGCAACATTAAAATAATTGTGTTATATGATACACAAGAGCATACCAACTCTTCAACTAAGTTAGGTGCTTAGTTTCTTTCTGTTTCACAGAGCTATCAGAGATCTCAGTTCAGAAAGTTGAAGAATCCCTCTGAAATTGTAAAATATCTCTGTGAAACTTTGTGACTTACTGAGGTATAAGATAATGCCACATTTTCAAAACCAAGCGTCATACTTTAGATTTTATTTTTTTGATAATAGGACTGTAAGCAATCTCAGAATTGTAAAGGCCTTTTACAAAAGTTGAATCATTTAATTAGGGGGCTTTTCAACAGTAAGGGGGACATACTCTCCTCCCTTTTGATTGCTGACTCATCCTCTAGTATACTGGATGTCAAAACCAGTAGCGTTAGTCAGTTCTCTGAGAAGGCACTTTGGGTTTTTTCTTCAAATGTTTTTTTTTTAATAAAAAATATAGATTATTCATATTTGGATATATCTGACTATGCTGCAGATAGTAGAGAAAATGGCTTAGTAGCCTGGTCCAGTGACATAAAATGAGAAACAGCACTGGAAAGAAATGTATCGGTGACTAGGGACAGGAACAGATCAGTGGGAATCTGGTAGTGTGAATAAGAGAAGAAATCATTTGAAATTGACAGAATTACTTCGATCTGGGTTTTTCCTGTAGTTTAGCTTCAATAGGCACTATTCAGTATTGATTAATAGACTATCTTCATACCTATAAAGCAGCATTTAAGGCACATTAGCCCAAGCCAACTGCTTGTATGAGCAATTTTTAGACCCCACATGTTGCTGGTGAGTAATGGTGTTATGTCGTAGTCTGTCCTGCCTTAACTGTTCAAACATTTAAGATGCATCTGAAAAAATGCATTGCATTTCTTGTCACACACCTCACTTGTGTAAGTGAAAATATTGTAATATACATTTATTGTATGTATCTGTTGCTTAAATGCAAAACACATTCATACTAGAGGGTTTGCTTGTCAACCTCTCACCTACAATTTTCATCAGGTTCTCTGACCAAACACGACCATATAATCCACCAGTACCATTCGAAAATCAGACGGCACCAAATGATCTTTTTGACACATCAGATCAGCTAGTAATGTGTTTTGTAACATGTAGATGTGCTTGTGGAAACACTTGTTAGGTCATTACTGTATGCTTGTGGAAATCACTACTCCTGCCTAGTGTGGCAAATGTTCGTTGTTGTGAACAGATTTAGCAAAATGATTTTACAGGGACTGAAAATCTTGCTGCTGTTATAAAATTGACAAAACAAATTAGCCTTCAGACACTTTTGAAGTCAAAATGGGTGACATATTCAGTTACAGGTGTCTAAGTTGTGGTGCCATTGAGTACAGAAATTGTGAACTTATGCTTCTGCATAATGGTTGCACAATCCTGCAAAATGCATTATATGTGCAGAAATCTGAAGTATTTCCTGATCTTGAGTTGCATGAGCAAATGTGCAGGTAGCTGCATGCTTGTGCAATTCAGCCAGTTTCCTGTTCACGATTTACTGTAATTCTCGATAGTCCAACAAAGTTGAACACTTTCTCTTTGGCCTTGTAGCACGAGGATAGAGAAACTGCTTTACAAAAATTGCTAAAAATGAAGAACTCATTGATGCAAAGTCTAGTGTCTTTTAAGATACTGCAGTGATCTTTAATTAAGACTATGGGGGAAAGCAGGCACTTTGCTTAAGTTGTCAGTCTGTTTTATGTTCACTGGCATTGTGACATAAAGATCTCTAGATTACTTACTCTCCAGCATCTTTCATACTTTGATGCTAATAACTCTATAATAACACTCAAGGAAATACATTCTGTATGATACAGTTATTTACAGAAGGAACCTCTTTATTTCCATTAGCAATCCACTTGAAATGATAAGTATAGCAGACTCAATGTCATCTTCTACATTATGTTGTCAAGGTTTTTGATCAAACACATGTCAAACCCAAGTGAAGGAGTGAATATCCAATTTTATTGCATTGATAATAAATAGTTGTGTATGATATTTCTCCAAAACTAAGCAGACAAGATCAAGGTGGTATTCAAATAGCACTTTGTTCCTGACAACTCTGAAGTTTTCATTAATGTTTTTGTTAAGCCAATCTATATTTGATGGAATAATATACAAGATATAGTGAGGGATGTTAGTGATTATCTTAAGAATACTAAACTTGCAGTGCAATATTGATTTTAAACATTTACTGTGATGTGTAGTTACTTGGTTTTAATGTATATTACAATTATGGGTAAACAAGGCACAGCCATTGGCATAATCACAGGGTTTGACTGAACAGAGTGCAGAGATGTTCACTTATAAGAAGGTAGGAAAACAAAATCATCACTACTTACAATCTGGTTACAATCCCAGTTTGAAACTGCCTTTAATAAACTGCCTGAGAATGGCAAAAAAAAAAACAGGGCACTTGCACACTGCCAACTAGAGAGAACAGTAAATCAGCCTTCAGTACTGAGCATGGTGGACCCTGAACCCTGTTTTTCTAGTGCCTCACTTGTAGCCTTCCATAATCCTGTCACAAGCACTAATGCTCATGGACCAGGGTGGCAGGACCTTAGTGTGTACTTGTATTCACCTCAAATCTGAACCACAGTTGTCAAGACACCACAGGACGTTGGCTATGAAGAACACATGCTGTTGTGTTCCTGGTTTAAAGCTGAGGATAGTGGTCATCTCCATGAGCATCACAGTCATGTAACTCATGATTCACAGTAAAAAAGAAGTAAAATAGCTGATAACTCACAATGGAATCGTATGACGTGATGCTGCACTAAAGCCCGGAGGTGAATACAGGAATTATATTTCTGCCAATGTGTTTTTGAACATAGGTATGATATTAATGAATCCTCTGTGCATTTTTAAATTGTGAGATCGAGTGCTGTGATTGTAATTTCAATTAAATTTTTATTTTGAAATGTATTCTGCTTTTTGTGTCAATATGAATGCCCTTTGCTTTGCGGTTGTTGTGATAGCAGCTAGTCCCAAGTGCAGCTTCTGTCACTGTCAGGACAGAGGAATTGAAGGTGGAAGTCGAAAGGCTGGTCACCAACCAGTTTGGTATTGTTTTTAGAAACTAATGCTGAAACTAAACTGGGTGGAAAATATTGCTGAACATTCAAACACAAATAACACCAGGTGTTTGTACTGTTAACTTGTTTGCATAGTTGTTCAAATGAACTTTTTGGTATTTTGGAATAGAAAATGAATACCCTAATAATCACAGCAGTTCACATTATTATCAGAATAGACCATTTTATTACATTTTAAAGTATGTTTAAACATTTCATTTTTAGACAATGTTACATACAAATATGATGACGGACAGACAAAATTATAGCCATCCAAAACATATGTACTCAACACAATTTTGGGGGAAGGGTGTTAATGACAGTGATTGGTAGTATGGTGAAACATTGCGTTCTTTCACGGTCTTTGAGAAGACAAATACCCAAACCACTGTTCATAAGTCTCCCCTTCTCTCATACCCCACTGGTCATAAGGCACTGTTCTGGGCATTTCAGGTTGCTCGGATGCGTCTCATCCTAGTTACACTGATATCTGCACTATCTGCTTACCAATGTTCCCTCCTTCCATCATGGAGCAAAATGTCTCTACAGAGAAAGCAAAAATGGTGCCATTATTCACATTGTCTACTTCATCCTCAGTTAATGGTAATGCCCTTTCTTTACACAGAACAATGATTCAAGCAGTTCACTCATTAGAACAGTTCCAAATGAGAGGAGGCCATTTCGCCGATCTTGCCCATGTTCAAGTAGCTTAGCTAATTGATCTAAGGCTGTCATTCAACCATTTCTTGAGGGAAGTAATGGTATCGCTTTAACAACATGGGGGGGTAGCTTGCTCCACACTCCCACAACCCTTTGGGCAAAGTTGTGCCTCCTGTCCTAATCAGAGGTTGTTATCCAGCTTTTTCTTGAAAGAAGTCTAATCTAATGCTAACAGCTGAGTAGCATGTTCCATATCAATTAGATAAGTTAATTGATTAAGTAAGGAATGGTCAACTATAATCCCTCACCAGCTTCAGTGCTCAAAAGAAAATTGTCCCAAGTGTTTAGGAATTGATGAAGGTGATAAAGGTGACCCTTTAAACTTACTGCTTAGTGTCCCTCTGGGGCCTCATGCCTAGTTAGTTAGTGGTTAGTTATTATCTACCTGTGAAGCAAAGACTACAGCACTGCTTTTTGAAGTGGAATACTCCATACATTTAAAAACACATTAAAACTACCAAAGATGACCCAACCCTGCTCCGGTCTTTTAATTACTTATTAATTCCAACTACTTCCCAATTGAAAGACCTGGCTTCTCTCTGGGCCTCCACAGGCACGTGAAATATATTGATATCCCACAACTACACTCCCTGAACACTGTAGCTGAACTGGTAGCTCTGTAGACCAGATGTTTTCAAGGACACGTCAAGCTATTAGTTGACATTTCTTACCTCCCATGGTCTCAATCCCCTGTACAACAGTCTCCAAGGCCTGTGAGACAAACAAATCCACAGTATATTTCAAGAGAAAGGTACTGATTCCAAGTTGATGGTTGAAATGGATAAGGTTAGACCAAAATAATTTTAAAACATCTTTCTTACTTTCAATTTCCCAGTTTTTATCCACTGGCTCAGCTGCATAAGGCCTTCTTCGTATTTCTCCACATAGTTCAACACAGTAAACCGCTCCCTGCAGAAAGGACACATTTTTGTGAAGGTCAGGCAGCCCCTGTGCACTACTGTTTGGTTTTCAGAACCGAATGACATAAACGTCACCATTTCTTCTCTTTCCACTAGCTAAGGGCCCCAGTTACAGTCCTAGAGACCCATGTCTACAATTCAGGAAGCACTTTAAAATAATACATTCTAGAGTGTTTTACATTGCAATTAAAACGCTCTCATGCTCTGGGAACTTTTCATAGGTGACCACCTCGTAACAGATATTTATACTTGACATTTTTAATAACTTGGAAAGAGAAAGAAAACTCTGGACTGTGTTACTGGACCCATAGCCAAGGCCTGGGCTACACCCTTCAGACCTCCTGTCAGTAGCTGATTGTAAAGGTGGTACTTGATCACGGCTTTCTGCATGGGACTTCTTTGCAACCCCGAACTGATGCAAAGAAGTTAGAAAACGGATGGATGGACATCAAAGATTGTCAGATTACCTATTGTGCTCCCTAGGACAGGGGGTCAGTGCATGAGTGTTGTAATGTGGATCCCTACTTGAAACATCTCAGCTCACCTTTTTTATTTACTCGTGTTATCTGCAAATTCCAAACTTACCAACCCAGCACAAGCCCTGCTGAGGACATCACTGAAGAAGTCATATTGAATTGGCTTCTCTTTGTTTCATTGTCACACAAAACATCAGTGAGTTTGCGTGTAGAATAATATGCAAAGTCTGTGGTCAAATAAATATGGTTCATTAAAGAAAGGAAGAGGAGGATGAGAAATGAAGAGGGTACGAGGATGGTAAGAAATGCCCAGCACTGGGAGGAGGTACCTGGTGATATTCTTCCTGAACAGCAGCTCCTGGGTAGAGGCAGTCAGGGGAGGGGGGTAAGGGACATCCTTGTTGTACTGGGAGATCTGACCACACAGGATCACATGGCTGTCTTCATTCATCTGCAACGGCAAGACATTCACACGTCTCGCGTCAGAGCCTCGTTGCCCTCTTCACAACAACACAGCACAGGGCAAAAACATCAGGTCTTTACTCAAGAGTTGAGAATGGTGTACAAGGTAGGCAGACACTTAACTTTAAACAGAAGTGAACATTTCTACTGCAATGCAAAAAACCTTACATTTAATTTAATTAGATGTGGGGAAAAAAAGAAGAATTCCTTTCCTGCATTGCCAATTAGTAGTTCCTTCTTACAGAGTGCTGATTAATGAGGAACAAAGCTCGCAGCTGTTCATCACCTCAATGTCATCAAACCTTCTCCCCGAACACAAACCACTCTGCCTGTAGCTTGCATCTTTGTGAAAACAGTTACCTGTAACATCAGTAGGAAACCTTATCTTTTCACTGGTCCAGAGACTGGCTGTACTGTCACAGTGGAATCATGCCTGCATTTGTGGTTGGAACAGCATTTTCAAACAAAAAACAAAATCATGACATAGCAATTACTGTATATTTTAGGGAAGTCAAGCCATGTAATTATCTGAATACCTTGTAGCCCTTGTCAGTTTGTGAAATCCAGATTGCTTTTAGCTTGTTGAGCTTTATTTTTCTGGAAATGTAATATTAAAGTGTGATCCACTGGTCTAAACAAGGCGACTGCTGGCAAACTCATTTTAGAATAACAACCTCTCTTGATCATTTGGCTTTAAAATGCAAAGAGGGATATGGTGTTTTACCTGGGCGATCACGGTGTCACTGATGGGTCCACCCACGTTGTCAAAGTAAACGTCCACTCCCTTGGGACAGCACTCCCTCAGCCGGCTGGCCACATCCTCACGCTTGTAGTTGATGGCGGAGGTGAAGCCCAGCTCAGACACCAGGATGCCACACTTCTCGTCAGAGCCACAGACTCCTACGACTCTGGAACAGCCATCCAGCCTGCCAATCTAGGACACCAGGACAGACGGCAGGGCCTGAGGGATGGTATATAGCCCAGCTCCCATCTGTTACTCACTACAGCCCACGCCGAGTCAGCACTCAAAAACAGGAAACCACATTAATAAACAAGTGGTTTAGAACAACTCCTGTTGTGTCTAAATAACTGTTAGAATTTTGATTGTGCAGGTTCCGAGTTGCTTAACCAATAAAGATTTTTGCTCCAAATGCTGGTATTTTCCCTATGAACTATACTTGATCATACCCAAAGGGCAGAGAAGTCTGCCTGGTGGGATAGACACTGTAACCTGTTTCTTGTCACTAGCCCACTGTGACTAGGATTTCTTAAGGGACAGTTCACAAATGATAGTGAAACAGTGCCTCTCTCTGGCACCTTGCCAGGGCACACACTGTTCCTCCAATCAGTGCTAACCCTCCTATAAGTCACTGTAGAGGGGTCAGCACATCAGATGAGTGAGCTTTTCAGAGGAGCATGTCTGACTTCCCTCATTCTCGGGTGTGTGTACAGTGTCACTGATAGCAGCACCTTTTGTTGATAAAGAAAGCCAGGTTCGTTACTGAAATGTCCAGTTAAGCAATCGGAACTTCCAAACTGTGCAGGTATACAATAAAAAAGTAGTTCAAGTAGATAGCTGTGTCAGCATCTGTAGGCTGCAAAGGAACAAGTGAAGGTTTATTCCCTGCTGAAAAGAGCTCACACCCGAAGAAGGCTCCACAGCCAAAATGTTTCCTTTCTTCTCTTTTCAGCATGGAATAAACCGTTACTTGTTCCTTTACAATAAAAAGGTTATTGATTCCAAATTTAAAGACATGAAGTTGATAAGCCCCACGGTATGTGCTGGCTCTGTGTTGCAGATGTACAACTCTCAGCTGTAGGACAGCATGTTTTCCAATTTTGATGTCAGACATTTGGAAACTTATGTTGAGAGATCACAGCAGCACAAAAAATTGTTTCTTCAGGTGAGAAGCCCAGTTTTGATGTTGCTCATTTGGTTCTTAATACAAGGCTTCCAGAGGCATGATAGCAGTCCGAATGTTTCCTGCTGTCTAACAGCTAATGTCTGGTGTATTCATGCATTTTGGACTGGGCATGCTTTTTCTTAGATGGAATCATTGCCATACAGTTTGGAAAATGATCTTGTTGTTTAACTCCTTTGAGAGTGAAGTCAGTGTAATTCCATTTCAAAAATACTATCCAAGCTTTTCTCAAACTGCCAAAAACCTGGCCACACATCATCCCCAGAATCCCCACCTGGCATGATGGGAGATCTCACAGCAGCAGGTGTGTGCCTAAAGGACATTGTGTTGCATGAGCTTACCCTCACAAGCAGGACACAGCTTTTATTTCTAATGCTCTGTCACTAAGGTGCAGCACCACTGTGAAGTACTACACACAAACTACAGGGCTTCTTTAATTTTGTGTCCCCCAAAACATGTCATGTGATCCATGTAGTGGCCACCTGTGACTCGTTCACATGTTGCCAGGTTTTCTAATAATGCATACTGTCATCAGAAATGCCTCACGTGAGACGTTTTGTAAGACAGTTATCGTAAAGTGTGAAAGAGGTAATGAGACTGGAAACACTTGGTCCCTGCAATTTTCAATGTTCCCTTATTTCCAGGGCAAGTCATTAAACCAGTGTCAGGCTCCAGCAGGCACCAGACAGGACAGAAAACGCCAAATTCCAATTTGTAAGATGGAGAAAATAAGACCTGTATTCTGGCCTTGGGGTGGCCTTCATCCAGCAGTGGGTTAAAAGGGCAGTGGTTGCTGATGACAACAGGCACGTACAGTTTCAGTCCGTAGGAGGCCTCTGAGTGCTGCCCAGAGTGACAGTAAACTCTGGCCTAAATCCAACTCCAGGCGGGCTGTGTACCTGTCCAGCCAGAGAGCCGCACGCTCCAGCTGCTCCGCTGATCACGATGGTCTGACCGGCACCGGCGGTCACATGGCCCTTCTCCCTCACCCCCAGCAAAGCTGTGAGTCCGGGCATGCCCACAGCGCCCAGGAAGTAGGACAGGTGGCCGTCGACCAGCTGAGGGTCCAGCTATCGTGTGAGAGAGAGAGACTGTATCAGCAGCACAATCACCCAGGTAAATCTCCCAAGCGTAATGGACCCTGAAAATAAAGACACCAGAAACCAAGCGCTGTTTTGCTTCACACTTTGCAACGCAAGAACACTCTGAAGCTCCAGAAATAGATGCATACACGCAAGAATCGTTTTCTAAAATAAAAAATGTAACTAGTTTTTAAAGTTTTGGTGCGTCTTATGGCCCAGCTGCAGCAAAGCAGAAATAAGCACCACAAGCACGTTACTGTGACTGGAGAATAAGACATGAGAGCAACAAGGACCTCAGTCTTTCCCCATTAGGATCAGAATGTCTCGAATCCAGACACTTGTGAAAAGCTAACAGTGAAAACTCTCTACACACTACTTTTATGTATCTTAAGAACATGTCCAAGAAACCGTACACGCTGGAAAACTAGAGATGATTAATGTTACCTCAAACCTTAATTTAAATTTTCAAACTGAACTGCACACACATTCATTTACATATGCGAGTCTGTGAGCAGTACCTGAAAAAGCAAAAAGAACCAATCTTTAGGCCATTGAAATCCAGGGACCATTTTATTTAGGAGGGCTTTTAAAAGTGAAACACAGTCCTGTGAACACAAATGGAAACAAAGTGGAAACACAACTGAAACTAAATACAAGTACATGAGGCTCTTTCACTGCACAAAGGGTTGTGGGAGTATGGAACAAGCTACTCGGCCATGTTACTAAAGCCAATATCCTGGTTTCTTTCACGAAAAGGTTTATGAGTTCCTCAGATCAATTTGCTACTACTAACAGGCTAGACGGATCGAAGAATACAAACGAGAGGAGGCCATGTCTTGGGTTCTCGGTGTTTAATCGGTTTATCAAATTTAAGTTCACTAGGAATAACAACACCCAAGTATTAACTGTATTCAAAGCATTACTGAGTGCTTTAATCACAATAGAATTTGGCTTAACTTGCTTGGCTGAGTACTACAATGCATATGGCCTCCATTGCTTGCGAGAGCTGGCTTACCAGAGCAGTGACGTCACTGCCCTTCCCTGTGAATAGCAGGGACCGCAGCCACCAGGCTGACGGGAGATTTCCCTTTGGCTCAAGTGGCTGGGTCCCTGTTGAGGGGCACCGGAGGTCCGGGTTTGAGTCCCCAACGGTGGGGGGCTGACCTGATGCAGCAGCGGCGAGGGCGCACAAGTGAACCCCGTAGCGTTACAGTACTAACCTCCTGACCATAGAAAGAGGCTGGGACAGCCCCGTACAGACTGAGGAGTGACCAATGGGCAGCTGCAGAGGTGTGGAAATGGGGTGGAGGGATGCAAAAGACGTATGAGACAGAATGGGATTACGCAGAGTATTATGTTGTAAGTGGAGAAATGACAGCAGGAGGACGTAACATGCTGGAATTCATAGAAGAATCAAGTCATATCTTTGACAATATATTTCTGCCAAGAGACTGCTGGCCTTTTTATTTGAAATACATTATAAAAGTAACACGTTAAAACGTGCGCTAACTGAATACAGTGTTGAGGAACTGTGCCTCTCACAGCGGGCAGAGCTCGATTTACCTTCTGCAGCCCTGCGCCATCCACCACGTCCTCGGTCTGCCAGCGCCAGTTAAATGAAGTCACGGTGTCTCCTTTCGAGAGCGCAGCGTGCTTGCTGTCCTCCACCACGCCCACACCCCCGCCGTCCACGCACTCCGACAGCTGCCACGGCAACAGATAGTCCGTGCCCGTGTCCTCGTTCATTCGGCAGCGCTGCAAGACACACGCAGACGCCGTTTTCCCATCTCTTAGTCCTGGACTGTCGTTGTTTAATACGCGTCCCATCCCGGAGAAGCTCTTCCCGGGAGGCCCCACGCCTGGATCACAAGGCGAACGAATTAGCCTGCGAGTGCACAATTCGTACAGCTCTGAAGTGCTCCTCGGTAACGTTCAGATGACAAACAAAACACACTGCAACCTCAACAGCAGTATTACATTCCAATAAAACTGAATTCCTCATAACCTGAAAGAAACGACTCAGTAATATAATGTATAAAATATGAAAGCATACAGCCTTCTTCATAATTTCTTACCTCTGGAAAACATTTTCTGCCAAACTTGGTATTTGCATGAACAGGGAATCTGATTTACTCTTCCTAATAACATTATACGTTACCTTAATAGCTGCACATGAATGTCCTTTGAGATTTTTTCTGTGCTTTGGGAGAGGACAGACAACTTTGATACGATGTCAGTGTACTTTTAGGATTATGATGAAGGCTGAGGTTCGGGCCTTGTGCTCGGGGTTAGGAATAGGGTTTGGAAAGGGCTGGAATGCCACAGTTTAGGCTATAGTCACTGCAGAACAGAAACACAACACAATCACAGAAAGAACTACAAGAGGGGTTTACATCATATACATATGGTTTATAAATATAAAACTGTTTTAAATTTCTTGTTTATTCACTTTTATATTTTGTCAGGACTTTTAAAAGCAAGAAAAAAAGTGTGTATTGTGGTCATTCAAATCTGCGAATATATACTTCTGCAATTTAAGAAGAAGAATTTGAGTCTCATTGTTACTTATAACATATAACAATGTCCTAAATGGCGGCCCTGTGCGTTTTGTTAAACGGTAATGTTCCTGGGTGAAGGCGTGTTGCAGCTTGTAAATGTTGACACTCGCAGTGCCGCAGCAAGCAGCGTGGGGCGCCCACTCACCATGTACGGATCCACCGAGAGGAACAGGGTTCTTACGCGGACTTGTCCCGGCTTTAGATCTGAGGGCAGGTCGCCCTCTTCCACTCGGAAATTTCCTGGAACGGGCTGTCCATTGTTTCCTTAAATAAAATAAAAAACATGTGATTTTATCAAATTTTAAAAATGCATTTCAGGTTTAGTGTCCAATCTAGTGCACAGTGACCGACACCAAAGCTTTACTGTCAACAACCTACCCGGTCGTGAATTCAAGACCACTTTTCGTATCATGTTAGTGTTAACTTTTAGTCCAATAAATCGAGCATGCGTTAAATATATCAGGAAGACCACGATCACCGTGACTCCTGAGAAAACCGGAATTGCCCTTTTCTGTTGCGGTGAATTTCATCGAGGTTAATCGAGCACTGTCAATGTCTGAAGCAAGCACTTTACGCCTCTCTGTATCGAGGTTGTTTAAAAGCAAGCGAGCGCCCCCTGGGGGGTTCGGTGCATATTGTGTACGGGGATTCAACGTGTACGTGAAAGTTCCAACTATGGAAATAAATCCTGGCTATATCAAAACCAAACCACACATGCATGTCGGAATACGAGTGGGAATAATGATTGACCTTATGGTTATTACACTTTTGTACGTATCCGTAAAGCTACTGGGACTTTTTTGTGTCTGTCGGACTGGGATGGTCCAAACGTGTTCAGTAAGGCTTATAGTGATTTTCCAGGTATGATCCATTCACTTTTGTGAACAATACGTTCACATTGGTCGTACATATGCAACTGATATTTGTGCCAAAGTGGAAGTTAAAACACGCTTGCATCCAACGTTACAAAAACAACGTCAACTTCAACTAACATAGTAAAAGCGCAGTTTAATTTGATTTTTACATTCTTTATATGAGGGCCAGAAAAGACCAACAAATACAAGTCCAATTGCACTTGCTTTTTCCTATCAATGTTGAAATTCAGATAATTCGATTTCACCTTTTCGTTAACGGCTAAATAACAGAATATCGGCGTGAATTAATCTTTAATAAGAACATGAGGATGTGTAGACCTCCGTGACCGAAAACAATAAGCGTGTCGGATACATAAAAATCAATCAATCCGTGTGGTGAATGCCAATTCCAACAAAACTAAAAGCCGTGATGAAATCAGAAAGGAAGTTGAATGTAAAATATAAGATTTCATACCAGAAGCAATCCGTCTGAGGGATGGGCATTCACGCCTTATAAAAGGGTCACACCTGTTTCTTATCTTTTTTTTCCAACTCGTGGAACTTACACGCTCCCACGAACTTGTGTTGAGCCAGTTCAAAAGGCGGTGAATGACAAGTGTGTGTGTGATAGCCAACACTGCCTTTCAACAAAAGCCAGCTTCACTTCAGAGTGACCTTGAATCCGTTATAACCCCCCTGCTGTAACTCCCCTGTGTGCTCAGGAAACCCCCCTGGTCCCTTGAGACAGATTGATTACCTGTCATCAGTTTAAATTGGAAATCCCCGAAGTTCCCGATTCTTTTCGATTTCTACCTCTCGGGGGGTCAGCTTGGACTCCTGCCAAATTTTGACACTATCTAGATCTGAAATGTTCAATCCGCATACTTATTATGATGCACAAGCTATCATGATCTCAGGACGAAAAAACCCTATTAAACTAATTTAAAATATCCTGTATTTACACTGAGTGAAATCTTTTGCTTAGGCACACTCGTCGATCCCCCTTTTAAACTTTTGTGTACACTGGTTTACATTTCCTTCCTGCGCTATAAGTGCATAATAATGTTAAGACTCAAAGCAGCACAATGCCCCAATAACACCATTTGAAAGCGCTGGGTTGTGACGTCACAGGAGTGGTTACAGTGTGCAACATTCACACACTGGAAGCATTACCAGCGCAGCACAGTAGGAAGTGACGACTTCGAAGGGAAAAAAAGTTTTTGTTTGTAGGAAAAAAAAAGTCTCACTGGAGTGAAGTTTACTTCGCCCGATGCAGAAACTTAAGGTAAGGTATGTACGTTTCTAACACAGCGATTTTATTTTTTTCCACGTTTGCACATGTAGTAGATTGTGAATGTCGAATGCCGATGGTCGCGGTGTAGTTTCGGCGTTTTTGAGTTTTGTTTTTTTGACATTTGCTCGGTCGTGGAGGGAGTTGGGGGAGCAATTAAAACGCACTGCGTAATTGACAACAACAGCTGATTTGTTTGCAAAATGCAGCGGCCGAAGAAAGAATCTGAGATTAAATGTAATGCTTAACACCCAGCACCAAAGCACCACGCTTGTGGGTCCGGTACGGTCCCGTGACGATTAAAATCTCTGCAGCAGCCTCTGAAGGAAAAGGGACTGTAGCAGTTTTCTTCTGAGCCAAGGGTGGAGGTTATAGTCACGAAAAGTTTCTCCCGGTCTCGAGTTTGCTTGACAGAAAGCCGTGCTGTCCGTCATTGCTAAACTATTTTCAAGCCCCGCTAGTACAGAGGTCTTGCTGCACTAACACATGAAACTGCTGACTAGACCACCATTTCATCATTTAACTCTCGCCCTAAACTCCGTCGGTTTTCGGGGAGAATCCAGTCCCCCAGAATCCGTTGCTGCTGCGAAGTCCTGCCACTTCTGCTGTTTCGAACTGAAGTAATGGCGCTTTTTTTTCTTCTCTCGCCCTCAATTAGTTTCACTTCTCTCGATACCAGTGCTGCGAGCTAAAGGTGTTAGTGCAGAACATGCACCGCCGTGCAGCTGAAAAAGCTCAACGTAAATTTTTAGATGGTATCTTCAAAATCTGCTAGGCTTACAATGTTGTGATATTTACAATCCAGGCGGCGACAGACGCGGCACTGAAAACTGATGCGAGCCTTCTGACTGGATGTGATTTACAAATTACATTACACTGCTTTACGACACTTTGGAATAGAAGTTAAGAAATACTGTACATGTACACAGCTTTGCAGCCTAGAAATGTCCTCCCGACGCCAGGCAGCAGTGCAGAAAAATTACACTTTAATTTTCATGGTCTTTTTTTCTCAGATTTTGCATTCCACATCTTTTGCAATGTTAAAGCAATTTAATCTGATTAAAATACAGTGGCTTTGTGAGGCCTTATGAACGCCTTACGAAACTTAATCGCAGTAATAAAATAAAAGCTACTCTTAAAGAGAACAATGCCAATCGCCATATTTAAATTTCAGACTTTTTACAACGTTAAACTTTGGTACTTCTCCATAATCACGGCATTTGAAGGATTATAACTTTATTTAAAGGATATGAGTGTAAAGTGCTTGGAAGCAGGTACTGTATCCAATTTCTACTGTGTAGAAGGGTACATGGAATTATGAATTTAAATTTACATGTTGGAAATAACCTGTAATCCACATTTGAGGGGTACTTCTCTGCCTCTTTCATTTTCTGTGGTGAAGAAACGAGAAAGTTGTAATATTCAGACTCATTATTGTATTCAGCAATGCAAAAACATAAGCTAGCAGATAGGGTTTGAGAAATGGATGTCCTTTTGCTGTGTCCTTGGATATAATTTGAAGGCTTTGCTTTTGATGCATGAAGGTAAATTTGCTAAACCACTAGAAAAACACTTTCCTTATTTCTCTGAGCAGTCTATGACATCCTAACCACTTTTCAGAACTTTAAACCACTGCCTTCCGCATAGTCAGTAAGAGTATAAAAACTGTGCTCCACGAACACAACCTGTCACATTCACCTTCATTGCAAACTACTTGGTTTCGGTAGTGAGTGTTGCCGTCAAAGTTGGCACAGATCTGCTTAAGTGGACAAGCATGCAGTCTTTCACAATTAGTCACTTGTCTGCATTTCTGACTACCCCACAAACACAATTAGCAGGGCTTACACACTTGGGATGTCAGGTAGTTTTCCTTTACTCATTTATTTTTGGGGAATGAACTTTTTAATACACTTTCACAGTCGGATGGGTTTGGGTAAACTTGATGCGCTCAGACAATTAAAATACCCAGCTATAAAAGTTAATGATTGCATTCTTTTCTTCCAAGCAGAAAAAAAATCTAGATTGGGGCAGCTCTGATTGCATAAAACATTTTAAGGAAGTTGAATATAGAGTTGGTATCCCTCAAAGCAGATAAATGACTTTAATGTGTTCTACTGCTCTGTGCAAATCTATTTAAACACAAACTCACACTGAAAGGGCAAAACCAAGGGGGAAAATAACTAACTGTACTTTATATAGCTCTCCGGTGGTCTTCAAATGCTGTAATCGAGCTGGTTAGGTAAATCACCCATCAGGCAAGCAACAGGCACAAGGCAGGATACACCCTGGAGGGGAAACCAGTTCATTACAGGGGACGCACGCACGCACGCACGCACGCACGCACAAACACACATCAGAGTCAATTGTTCCAGAAGCGAATTCACCTGCCAGTATGTCTTTGGACTGTGGGAGGAAACTGGAGCACCGTGGGGAGTACAGAGAGAACATGCTAACAACAGAATCAAACCCAGGTGCACAGTGCACTGGGCAGCAATGCTAACCACTGCTCCACTGTGCTGCCCCTCTCTGTAAATCATCAATAGCTTAAACGCAGAGAAGGGTGAAAATAGTTCAGACAGCTTCTCTGGTCCTTAAACTGTACTGATTATAGCAAACCTGCTAGATTATGGTAATCAGTGGTCAGAGTTCACAGGTTGGGGTATATTTTCTATTGCTGAAAAATATTGCAGTCCATTGTAGGATAAATGTACAGTAATGAGCTACAATGCTATTTTAATAGCTGGGTATATCTATGTAGGATATACAACGCCTATAGTTCATGTGCAATATAGCAATGTGTTTTATGACTTACATTTGTCAGTGTAGATTGAATAATTTGAGTGTAAATTATAATGTGAAAAAAACCTAATGGTGCTAAGGTACTTAACCAGAGCTTAATAATAGTGTTTGGTGTATAAAGCATGCAGGGGTCTCAGGAGAAACTGCAGTAGTGCCCCGAGTCAGAGAAAGTGATGATAAAGTACAGAGAAACTAATTTGTATTTTGTGTTTATGTAAACGAAAACAATATGCATGTTTTTTTTTTCTCCCTGAAGTCACGCAGTCGAGGCTTAATTGACGCCCCGCGTGAGCGGCCGCTTTAATTTTAGTTGATTATTAAGTGAAACGGTGTCCCTTTTTACTCCTGAAGAGAAATGCCGATCGTAATTTAAAACGGCGATTAGTATATCAGCTTTCCCCCACTTTTTAGTATTTTGTTTTTTTAATTGCCTGCGCCCAGATAACCGGGCCAACATGAGGAGAAAGCACTCTGTCTTGCTTGCATGGTGTGTTTTTGCCTCCTGTTTCTAGGCCTCTCGGATGGCGGAATTTCCCTGAAGGGATAGTGTACTGTAATTTACAGGACTCCACATGGATGGGAAGCGCCTTATATGGAAGTGGAAGTGGGCGTGGGGAACTGAGTGAAAGGATCACAAGACTACTCAAGAGAGTGTTCGTGTATGTGTGTGTACTGTGGAAGGGGGAAGTTGCAGAGCTGGTTTTTTACAGTTGTGCAATCGCAACGCAATAACGTGCAACGCAGGAGCGATTTAACCTGGTTTTTGAATTGCTGTCCCCTCCTTTCCACGCCGGCCTCGCAGGGTCCGCGAGGATCTTGAGGAAGAATGTAGTGTGAGGTCACCGAACCATGAGTCAACCTTGGCGATGCGTGCAGTCATTTTGATGCGATTGCAAAGTGGGTGCGTGGAGGAATACAGCCTCTTATTACAGTTAGGGGGAACAGAAGCGAGGAGGAGTGGAAAATGACGAAAACGGTGAGGACGGTTCGCATTTTAAGTCGGTATATTTTGCTCCTGAGCAACATCGCTTGAGGTGGACGCAAAGTTGCTAACGTTTTGTGTCATTTAGTCTGTTACGAGCGCCGGGAAGTCGGCTCAGCCATGCAAAGCAAGATTGACGTGCATGTTCTTTTCCCGAGTATATTTTCAACATATATTTTGCCCTTTTGCGAACATGACGTAGTTCCAGAGTTGATGGATGGGCAAAACGCCGGGGCTACAATGTTGCAGCCTGCGCTTGCTTCGAGAGCTCCTTGCTGTTATGTGTTGGAGAGTGTTAGAGTATTAGCAGTGCCAGATAATCCTTTTCTGCAACAAAGGGCTTCTGGTAAATAGCGCCGGGTTGGCTGATGAGAGGGGTCCGGAAAGGATTTACTAACATTGCGGCGTGCTGTTTTCATAAGAGTCGTGGTCTCCAGGCACAGCAAAGAAATCGTTGTTTTAGTCTTTTATCAGTTGTATTTAACCGTTTTACTACATCAAAGTCTTGGATGCGTGTTCGGACAGTAGACACTGACTCAGGTGGGTTGATGATGAGGTAATTTCTTGGCGTTACATGTCCTTAATACTTGCCATCGCAGCCTGCCCGTGGGATTGAAATCTGTGCACTGCTTCACCACGTCTGCAGACTCAATTAGGAACCTGCTAAGAAAAAAACGACAAATTGTGCCACCTGGTTTTGTTGCATGTGCTCCCTTCGTGACTTTAATGGACTTTAAAACACACCATCCTACCAGGGGATCGTAAATGTGTTGGCTAACTGCTCAGTTGCTGTTTTTTTGCTGGCGGAAAAAGTGTCATTTTACAAACGAAACTGCATGCACTAGTAAAAAAAACCTGTATACATTGTTGTGACATTAAGTGCATTATTTGGCGGTGTTTGTCTTTAAACCAGTGGGTGGACAGGAACGAAATGACACGTAGGAACACATTTTATGTTGTTGCTTATGCTGGAAAATTGGATTCGCCAATACCTTCGGATACCGCCAACCTAGTTTGTCTGTCCCCCTAGTCTGCCTTAAACATTAGTTCAGACTCAGAGGTCTTATTCTCGGATTGCATTTATAGAGCTGTGAGGATTCCTGCCTAGAATTATCTGATAGGGCAACTGGTAGCAGGCTATTTTCAGATGGCTGTGTGCAAGCACTCGTGTATTTCTTCTTATAAATAAGTTTTAACATAATTGCGCCAAATGTATGCGATGTCTTTGCAAACCTAGACAGCAGACATTAGTAATCATTGACAGTAAGGATGTCTAATTATGTATTTACGCATGCAATAGCGTTAAGTAGTCGTAATTTTCTACTGTACAGAAGGTCGGTGATGACAGTTTTATCCACTTACGTATTTTTCCGCTTCCGTGTTGTCTTAAACGATATTGTTTTATTTTTAAAAGCATACCGATGTTGTTAGACCTAGTTTCTGTGTCCAACAACTGTGCTGATAGTTGGTAGTTGATGCAAAAAAGAGGAACTGAATGATGGGGAATCATCATCGTTTATTATTCCCCCCGAATACGTCCTATCTACACTGAAGACCGAGATTGTAGTCCTGCAGCTCAGATCCCGAAATGTGGTTTAAAAAAATGTCTTTGTCAGCCCTCTTAGTGTCCTAGTGTTCTTGTAGTGAGCCGGAGTGGCGTCATTTCTGAGGAGATAAGGGACGTGGAACAGATCACTCTCTGTTTCGAGTTCACTCCCAGGATGTAACAGGGAGGGCCCGGGACTAGTACAATAAGCATTATGCCGTCCACACTTTCCAGCGACACACAATAGCTCAGGCTGTGTTGGATTTTGCATTGGGGTGTGCAAAGTTAAAAAGTCAGTTTAAGAAGGAAGCTGTCAAAGTTATTTATAAATGTAAGCTTTTAAAGATTTTAAGTTGTTTTTATACCAGTTTAAAGATGAGTGTTTTCAATTTGATGCTGATTCTATATATATAAATAGAGAACCCAGGCTTACAGCCAGTAAATTTGAGATTGTAGACAGCAATGTCTGTTATACACGATTTCTATTTTTTCTGATGTTTTCTATGGGGGCCAGAGTCCTTTAATTTAAATTTCTTGGATAGGTTCACCTAAAGCTTGTTAGGAGGCATAGTATCAGTGAAAGATGCGTTATCAGGGTGTAGTTCAGGTCCAGTACAGTTCAGTTGTGTGAGCTGTAATGCCAAACTTAAGAGGCCAAACTCTGAAAGCAATGGAAGTCTCCCAGAAGTGTTCCCATTTAGCAAAGTACGGAATCCTGTGTGAAGATGCCAGCCATTTCCATTATAATTTAAAAGTTGCGCATTTCATGTATTTAGCTTTTTTGTTTTTTACTCATTTAATCACTATAATATACTCTTTTCCTTAAAAACATTTGATAGAGTTCAGGATTGTTCTTAGTAGTTTCAAGTGAACTTTTCAGAGATTTAAATACAGGTTGCAGAACATCGCATGCCAGACACTGTAAAAAGGCTGAACTAAAATACAAATATGAAGACTTCAGTGTCCAGTTGCTGCTGTACAGTGTACTAATATGGATTTGGGAATTGGGAGTGAGCCCTCTGACACATTAAGGAGTTCAATGTCTTAATAAGGATCAGGTTTGGCTCATCTGAGAAAAGAAAAAGAAATCTGGATGATGCAGTGTTGCCATGGAGAAGTGTCTCCATCTGTGTGTTCAAGTGTGCATTGACCTGTTGTGAGCACAAGCTGAAACATATGCTAAATACCCTTGTCAATATTCCTTTTACAGAAATCTTTGGGTTAATGATGTACACATAACTGTCTGACAAACGCATGCTGTGTTTGAGATTAAGAAAATGCATATTGAATGGTTTCTATGCGTGCAGTGTCTTGTGTGTGATGTTGTTAAGAAAATACATGTCTTTGATTGGCATGAAGGCATTTACAATATACTTGATTATGCTGTTCGTGAAATGTTTTGTGCATTTTTTTTATCAGTTCATTTTGACTTCCTCCATTAATTTCGTGGCCTTTCTGAAATTTGGTTTCATTGTCTTGCATCTAATTAGGCCGCGTCTCCTGTAGGAGCAGGACAGCTCGGAACGAGCAAATTATACTTATTTTCTTTTAGAAGTCTCTTTCTTTAATTTTCGTTAGCCTGCTTCATTAATTCTTGGTGTGACACTGGGATTCGGGTGGTTGAAAAGGCTTATTATCTGTGTGGTTGCTGAGGGATTGCAGTGCGTTTTGATGAAGATATCTTGGAGTTATTTCCCACAGTGTGTTGCAGTGCTTCCTGTTTTTAAGTTGCTCTCCAGTCGCAATATGAAACTTAAATGTGGTTTTCTTCCAAAGACCCCACCAAAATAAGCCCACTGGTTTACAGTGGTAGTCTCTGTTAAATTCCTTGATTAATGACACTACCATGCTGAATATATTTTGTAGTCAAAGCTCACAGGAAGTCCATAGTTGTGAGTAATTTCCCTTTTACAGAGATTTGTGAGTGCAGTCCAGAGGTACCTTTGCAGACTCTGTCTGTGAATAAAATATCAGGCTGGTGGCAGGAATGTGAAGAGTGTGAAGTCTTGGAAAGGATTTGAGGTTGCATGATAAAATATACGTAGCCCGTACATAAACGCGTAAATCTGTCCCTCTGTGTTGGCTGGCTAGTTTTATTTACATGAAAAGGTCAGTGGTTTACAGGAAGGCATACACATTTTAAAAAGCATTCTGTGTTTGAGGGGGCAATATTGGGCTGCCGTTGCTGTTTCAATGCTTCATCTTCAGAGGAGTGAGCTTTAAGCATAGGTATACAGGTAGCCAGTGATGACCCTATCCCTCGATGTGTAAGATTCGAAATTCTTCTAAAATCTATGACAAATGTGATGTGTTGGTAAGCAGTGATTGCTTATCACTGTGAGTTGTTTCCGATATGCGGAGGCCTCGTTTTCACAACTCCGTGCAGCGTTTGAAAGTCGTTGGCGATTGCACAAATGTCTGAACAAATGCCAAGGGTGTCCTGTTTCGCTCTTGTGCAAGAAGAGCAGCTGGGGAAACTGCAGAGTTGCGGTGGGTGATGTTGTTGTCCACGCTCATCCCGAAGGTGACCTGCCCCTGTTGTGCTGTGTAAAAAGCCCAGGCCAGAGATCTGCAGGGGGTTTCTGAGGTGGCAGGCACAGTGGACAACACGACTTCTGGCCACGTGAGCCTGTGAAGATCCATGTGGTCTGTGTCGAAAATGTGCTCCAGAAGATCACGTGTGGGGCTCTTCTGGAGCAGGTTCTCCAATCGTGTCAGAATGGTGGCATCGTTCTGTCCATGAATATTGTCCTTAGAAGACCAGAAGCACATGAGAATGCAGGACTTCCTGTCATATTTACTGTTTTGTATTTATTTAGCTGTTTTAGGTGCTTTCGGCTAGTCGTTCTGAGGATTTCACCTGGCCTAAACAACATGGCTGGAAAGCTTGTGTGAACTTTCACAACCCTGTAAAAAAGTCCCTTCTGTTTTCCACTTGAAGTGCACTTTCTTGTAGTTTTTCTTGTAGTGGACGATGTTGTGCTGTAACTCTTTCTTTGTAAATTCTAGAAGGGCAACATTGGCTGACCAGAGCAGGTCTGAATAGCCTTACAGTGGTAATAAATATCCTTGTATAAACTGCACTGCAACCATATGTTTTCTGTGTTTTCTTGACCCAAATGCAGCTGTTCCATAGCTTTGAGTTAGATGTCAGCAGTTATACAGCAATGTCTGCAGCATCGGGTTTCTGCATGGTGAATGAGATGGAGCTGCAGGACACTGTTTGTGACCCCTCCTGTTCTTGTGTAATTTATCTTAAGAAAGATATCTTTATCTTTAGATCAAGGGAGATGGTCTCAGAATTCGAAGCCTCATATATTAGGATTACATCACAGTGATGATGTAATGATTTACCAAAAGACTGAACGAACTGTCATTGTGCTGTGTTCCGAAGATCCTGAAGGCTTTACGATGGGGTGCACTTCAGTGATTAAATCTGAAGGGAGACGTTTGACAAAAGGGCACACATCTGTGACTGGGATGTATGTGGGATCACTAATGTCACACAGTACTAAAATGGTGTGTATTTTTTTACAGTTTATTATTAATTGCATGAGCTAAACCACTAGTGATGATGATTGCCTTTCATTGCAAAGAGTTGCCAAAAGATATTTCACTGACGTGAAAGATGTTGCAGCACTACCTTCACAAGCTCTTTTTGCATTGGGACACCCACTGTCTCCTAAGTACACACTGACTGTTCTTTTCAGCCCTGGTCTTTTATTTCCTTGCAGGATCCCAGTGATGAATGGAGGGCGTGACTGACTCCCAGACGTCTCAATCCCTCAGTGGCTTTGGAGCTCCACCTCAGTCAGAGGGGGGGTCTTTTAATTCCTTGGCCATCTGTGCTTGATCCCCCTCCTCTCTCAAGGCCTTGCATCCCCTGCGGTGGAAATCCGGTCAGCTATTTTCTAAAGGGAAAACAAACGAGAACAAAACTCCAGAACTTGGCTAGTTGGCACTTAACCCCAGCTGCCCTTCTTTCCTACTCTAGCCATGAGCCTGCCACCTCAGCAGAAGGGCACAGCCAAGAGGACAGGCAAGCGCATCTCTTTTTTCAACGAGGCAGGTGCTCAGAGTCAGCTCAAAGAGCCACTGCAGCACGTTGACGGCCCCTATTACACCTTAGGAGCCCAGGGCCAGGAGCCAGTCCATGGCGAGCCAGGGGCCCTTCCCACTTCGGAAGTTCCTACAAGATATCTCTCCTCGGTGATCTTCAGCCCAGAAAAAGGAGATCAGAACCGTGGGCACTACCAGCAGACCGTCCCCATGAAGTGGGGTCATCAGGAGCAGGGTAATGCTAACTGGGCTCAGGGCATTCCCATGGGAACCTGGGGACAGACCTTTCCGGCTTATCTTGGCGGGGTTAATGTGGACATGAACACAGCACTCCAGAGTTACGGTAGCCAGGCGTTCTCCAAATCCGGCCACGAGGTGATGCAGCAGTCCAAACGGGGCCAGGAGAAGCAGCTCCCAAACCCAGCTGAGGCGTACCGAGACCCAGCGAAGGTCCGGAATGTGGAGTGGGAGCAGCAGCAGCAGGCTGCTATGGCCAGGCACCAGGCCCAGTTGCAGGCATTTCAGCAGGGACAGAAGCAAGGAGCAGCTCTTGCACAGCCAAGTTCAGTCCTCCAACCCTTCCAGCTGGCTTTTGGGCAGCAGAAGCAGCAACTCCCATCAGGATATTACCAGGTCTTTCAGACCAATAGGACTATGCCAAATCTGAATTATAGCGGACAGCCTAAATCTCAGCACCAGCTTCAGCAACCACAGCAGTTACAGCAGCAGCATTTGCAACAGCAGCAGCTACAACAACACCAACAGAACCAACATTTTCTGGACACTTACTACCAGAATGCCCATCATCATCATCATTTACAATCACAGCAACTGGCTTCGCAGGGCCTAGGACCCCAGTCTCATCAACCGGAGCCCAATGTCCAGTTTCAGCAAAGCAGTTTAAACCCTGATATGCAGAAGTTCCCAGCCGGTACACGGCAGACAGAGGCGGCTTCCCAACAGCCTCTACCCCGCAGGTCGCGGCGGCTTTCCAAGGAGAGTGTCCCTCCATCAGGGGAGCAGCCCGGGAATCCATTCCTCACCCCTTGGAGCCAGGCCACCCAGGGGTCCCAGGCTTCTAGTGTTAGCATTGGAGCACCCCAGAATGGCGCCCCAGAGGTCAGAGTGAGCAATGTGCAGGAGGATGTCCCAGCAGCCCCTTCCGGAGTGATCCAGAGCACGCGGAGGAAGAGGAGAGTCTCTCAAGAAGTCAATCTGGAGACCTTGGCCCAGAAGGCTTCTGAGATGGAGTCTTTACCTCATAAAGTGGACAAGGTATGCCTTTTATTATTTCATGTCTTGTCACAAAGGCTTTGAGCTGCTTATTTTCATGTCTCCTTGGCAATTTTGAAAAGGAAAAAAGCACTTGACATATCCTTCAGTAAAAACACAAGGGTACCTAATGTGACGAATGGCTGAAAAAAACAAGTACGAACATCACCATGTTAATGCTTTGAAAAACCAATTCCATGCTTATTTTCTTAAAACATTGGGCTGAATTAATACACTTTATTATATTGTTTTTATTTTGCCAACCATTTTTAAAATAAACGTGCAAACTTCATCAAAAGTGAAAGAGACATTTTAATATCTTAACATCCTGAATGATTTGAGTCCTTTTCAGAACTGTTTTGGAGTTGAGTAAATCTGTGTTTCTCAAGTAGGGCTGTCACTACGTGATAAAGGCCATAGTAGTTTCAAATAAACTTAAAGTACACCTTTGCGCTGTAGTGCTGGGCTAGTAGCTTTAGACATTCTGTGCTATAAACCTTAAGAAATAAGCAGGGCTTTAACTGAGCTGTTTATGGCATATGTTCAGGCATATGTGAATATGAGTCGGTGTGTTGACTATCTGTTCTTTTATGTTCAGATCATGGTCATCCTATTTTAAAAGTGTAACTTCATTACAGCTTGGCTGACCTGATGGCTGTTGACTTACGCACTTTTGCAAGATGCGTTTCTCAATGAAAAGGGAGCACCCACACAGACATGCTTTCAGTGCAGGTTTGCTTAAAACTTGAAAGCCAGGATTCAGGCGACTAAAGGGTGGAGATTTTACTAGTCTTGCGTCACGTGCATTTCTGTGAAGATACAAATCTCCTGGCTATGAGAATGCTACCATGAGATGGCATTCTCCCTCACATACTAGCAACACGCTGCACTGTGCGTGGTCTTGACAGCAGGGGTGGCTGCACGTGTTTCTTGATTTACTTGGGAGAAGGGGGAGTGGTTTTTGCCCGGTCAGTTTTGATCTGGTAGCAATTCCTTTGAAACCACAAGAAAGTTAGTGTGAAAGGGCAAATAGTTAACTCTTCGAAGGAAACAAAATCCACTGCTTAGAATGTAAATGGCCAAAGTTGCCAAGTGGCAGACAGGGAGTCTCCCTCCCAGTCAACCTTCCAGAGAGACCCTGGAGAGGAGGGGAGGGGGTGTTGGGCCCATGGTTGTGCTTAGGGCTTCAGTGATCTGTGAAAGAGGACTTTTTCACCTTTTCAGGGATGCAAGTCTCACTAAACCAAGGACCAGACTCAAGAAGAATAATTTAGTCTTTTCTTGCTGCACTAGTTCCTACTGTATAACATTCCAGTTAACTATTTATCTACACACCTGAACCTGTCTTACTGTGTGTGAATGGTAAAGCTCATTTACGTGCATTACTTGATTTTCAACAAATTCTATACACCTGTTATGAAGTATGGGCTTAAGTGGATTTGTGACCCCGTTTCTTAAGATAAATGACTACTACCTGTTACGCAGTGCTCTATTGTTGAGTGATCTACAAGTGCTGTATTGATGTGGATTGAACTGTACACATATGTGATACATAAATTCAGTATCATATTGCAGATGGCAACACGGCTGTTGGGGACGTGCACAGACTTAAGCAGGGTTAAGGAAACTTAATAGACCAAGTTATTCATTGGATTCATATTTGATATATATATATATTTATCTGTAGTAGGCTGTACTCGTGTACTCATGTGGAGTATCCAGAAAAGCGCTATGTAAGTGAAAGCTATAATTTTTTATATATATGTATATACAAAAACCCTAAAACAGCTTTGAAAATCTGTTATTTACCAGGATTTCCCAATAGTGATATAAATATTGGCCTTAATTTTCTTCCATCAGCATAGAAAACATTCACGTGAAATGTGTTGGAATTTTATTGAGACATCAGTTGATCAGTATATATTCTATATTTAAATCACTATCAGCTGACAAAACTGTACATTGATATGTTAATACTTTGGATTTTTGGGAAGGCGACATACAAGTAATAAATATACTGAAAATATACGTATATAGCACACTTGTATGCAAAATATATATTACTATAAATTGATTGCAAAAATCGGACCCCAGCCTTACCATATGTGCTCCATTTTGTGCTAGGTGTTGTAGTTAGCAAGATGCTTGCCTTTTCAGCACATTCGTGTGCAGCTGTGATGGCATAATTTAACTGGATGCAGCACAGTTAACTTAGTATTGCTGTAGTTTGTCCAAAGCTGCCAGCATCTGATGTTAATTAGAATAAAGTCATTTTTGGCAGTGCTTGATTAAGAATAACAGATGTACTGGGCAGTTTCTTGATGTCCCCATGTATAGTGCCAGATTTCTATCTGATAATGCTGCCTTGAAGATAGAAAATGATGTATAGAAAAAAACTTTTTTATTATTTTTCCATTTTTTTGCAGTATTGCTACTGCAAATATTTTGTTTTCTTGTATGAGGGCATTATTTTTTTTTATTGAAGCTGTGACTGAAAGGTAAAGTGGTTGGTCTGATGACTGTGGTTTGATAATTCAGGGGAAGAGGAGACGCTAGAGAGAAAGGGTTCATTTTCCCAAGATAAAAGGCTTTGTTCTGTAGCACGTCATGTTACTTACAATAACAATTTGCACCACTGAGTCTTGTAGCCTATACATTATTAAACAGTAATCTGCATGATCAGGATTATCAGTAATACATTCCATGCATTGTTTTTTTTATGTTAGGTTACCCATTTGCTTGGCATAAAACTGGTGACAATACAAATTAGTGTTACACTGCTGTACAGAAGACATAGACATTGTACTCAAAGAATTAAAATGTGTGTTACAAACATCAGCAGTTTACTCAAAGCCTGCACGAGTGTTTTTGACTATAATGACCTGAATTTGACTTGTCATTCATACAGCTAGAATGGCACCATGGCGCAGTTGTAAGCACTGCTGCCTCGCATCACTAGGGTCCTGAGTTCAGTTTCGGGCCTGGGGTGCTATCTGCATAGAGTTTGTATCTCCTTGCGTCTTCATAGGATTTTGCCACTTTGTACCCATTGCTTTCCAGAATAGGATCTAGCTTCCTCCCATCCCTGTATTGTATAAAGCAGATAGAAAATGGATGGATTAATGCAGCCTTAAATTCACTTTGGTCATAGTCTTCAAAACCACAGCAACTCAAGTTAAACTGTACATGAGCAGTTAACGTGAAGTCTTGTAATAGCTATGAAATCTCACAGTGAAGTCTGAATGGTTAATTATCAGGTGTTCATGGTTATTTCTTTCTTTAAACATGTCAATAAAACTAAAAGGCTACTTCTTGTACCACAAAATGGATCAATCTGGATTAACTGTTATCTTTAAAACGGAATGTCTAAAATGTCAGTGGATTCACCACTAGAATTGTGTGTCTGCATAAAAGCGGAAAGAACGTTAGATAAAAAGAACAGTGCAGAATATCTGTGATTTATGCACAACAGTGTATATTGGACACTTCTAGTCTGGCCGTGTTTTCTGATGTATCTGAGTTCTCATTTACTAAATTAAGCAAGTCATTAGCCAATTAGCCTAAGCTTATGTTTCGTAATGTTCTGTTTAAGTTTATCTTTGAAACTATTTTTGATGTTTCAAGCTGCCTATTAAAACTAAGAATATGAAATTCATTTTTAAGAGCTAAAATTTTGGATGCTTAATTTAGTGAAACGCTAGTAATTAAGAGTTCAAGTCAGATAAAATGTACAAGTTACCTGTGATCCTAGGGATTGCAATAAAATATTTAAGAAGGTGAGTTTGAGTACATGATATTTAGTTCCTACAGTTTAGGGCTACAGTGTATTAAAAATTATTCAAACATAGTCCTTTGTTAAAAGACTCACAACTGTTTGATAATCAAAATGTATTAAATTATGATTATTTCGATCTTTGTTTTAAGGACAGTATCTGTTTTGAAAATTGTTTCAAGGGGTAAGAGTCCTTGATATTTTTCAAGCAAATATCCGGTGGCTTGAAATTAGCTGAGACACTTTATGACTGACATGCAGAAGTAGGAATCTTAGCTGTTTGTAATTCCAGATGAATGACGAGCTCCCACATTTTAATGGCATTTTAATTGTATTTATATAGCTCTTTTGATCCCACAAGATTCTAAAGCATTTTATACTTACGGTGCCAAGAAAATGTGTGAACCATATAAGATTTTTACACATTTTACACATTTGAAACCTAAGATATTATGATGACTAAGACTTCATTATAGATAAAGTTAATCTGATGAAGCAAATGAACCAAAATGATACTCTTTCAGCATTTATCTATCTTCAAATGCTGCAACATTCAATATCCATGTGTGACAAAACATATGAGCCTTTAGATTCAGTAACTGGGGCTCCCCCTTGAGCAGTAATGACTGCAACTTCATTCCCTGTAACCGTTGATCGGTCTCTCAGATCAGTTTTGAGGAATTTTGGCCCCTTCCTCCAGGCTAAGCCCTTCAACTATGGGACATTTGAGGGCTGCTTTGCATGGACAGCTCTCTTCAGGTCCTGAACATTTCGTTGAGCTGTCGTCTGGACTTTGACTAGGCCGTTATAAAATTCAGAATTTCTTCTTTTGCAGCCATTCTTTTGTAGATCTGCTTGTATGTTTAGGATCAGTTTTGAGGAAGATCCACTTTCAGTTCAGCCTCAGGTCATGGACAGATGGCCTGCCATTCTTCTCTAGGATCTTCTGACGCAATGCCTAATCCATGGTTGTGTCAATTTCAGCAAGCCATCCAGGGCCCGAGGCAGCAAGGCAGCTCCAAACCATCTCACTCCCACCACCGTGCTTGACGGCTGGGATGAGGTTCTTCTGTTTGAAAGCAGCGTTTGATTTTCTCCAGCCATAATGTTGTTTATGCTTCCTGTCATTCCAGGATCACTTGTGCATTTGACTTCTGATAGATGAGACAAAGTCACATTAGTTAAAGCCAGAGTCTCCTTGGTGTTACTCTGGATTTCTTTGTAATTTCCTTTGACAGCCTTTCTGTTTTCAAGGGAGCATCAGCTTTCATGTTTTCAGCTACATTTCAAGGAATCAGATTTGAAATTGTTTTCCTTATGCAGTCTCTGCAGTAAGTCTGTGAGCTTCCTGTGAAGTGAAGGTTTGTGGTTCTAAAGCATTTTCCAGTCTTTTGCAGAAGGAAATGTGAGCTAACCATAATTTGCACATTGTCGTATTGGATCAGCTCTGACTTGACTGCACAAACCATTGTTACACATTGAAACTTCCTTTCTGTAACTATAATGAGTATGCCAAAATCTGAACATTTAAAAAAAATAATTCTTGATTGATGAAGACACCCACCACAGTGCAGGTTGAGCTTTATGAATTAGGCATTGCAGGTTTGAGCCTTGGTTGTGTCCCTAGCTGACTGTGAACATGATTGCCCCACATGTATGTACAGCTTAGGGCTGGGATTAGTCAGCCAGGGCTCTTGGTTCATGTGGACTTGGTGACACATGTAGCCTCCCAGTTGATGCCAGTGGATGACAGGCCTGTCCTCTAATCAGCAGTGATCCTCCTGCACAGGGCGGTGCTGTTGGTGAGGGACAGGCCTTTCCTCCCATCAGCTGTGGTCTTCCTGTAACAGGGTGGTGCTGTCGGCGAGTGACAGGCCTGTCCTCCAATCAGCTCTGATCTTCCTGCCCAGGGTAGTGCTGCCTGTGACAAATTAATAGATATTTGGCTGGAAGATGAGCGGGTTAAAGGACTCTGCCTGCACTTCCTCATTCTCCCCCTGCGTGAGGCCACGGGGTTTGTAGCCATGAGCCGAGATATGAAAAACATACAGTTGTCTATCCCAGTTTGGGTAAAAGTACATTTTTAAACAGTCATTTTTAGCAGTGCTCCCTATCTGTGACACTCAAAACATTTTTCATAATTCTTTTACTATCATAAAAACCTTTTGAATGCTACAATGTGTTGGTCTTCAGAAATGTAACCAATCACAGTTTTGAATTAATTTTAAATGGATTTTAACTTCTGAAGATATAGAAATATCTTCGACATTCATTTCTGGTACTACTCTGTTAGGCCAGTTACATGTTTTGAGCATTGCTGAGAGAAAAGCGATCATGACATGGTCAGCCCCACAGTCTATTAAGCTATACTGCATGTTGACGTTTTACTTTATCAGACCAAAATTTGGGGGAAAAAAAAACTCCCACTAAGCCTGGAATGCTTGACTTGTAGTGCACTGCATACCAAGTGCAAAGCATGTCTGCACACACACAAATTCCATCATGACTCACTGTGTTTTTCACAGGTCCCTCTCATGGCCTGGATTGTAGGTGGAGTTTGGATGTGTGGCAGGAGTCTGTATTGCCCCATGTGATAGGGGACAGTTAGACAAATTGTTTTGCCAAAAGGCTAAGCTCCCTTGATGTAGAAGGGGGAAGGAGTACCCCCCTGTAATTTTTAGAAAAGCAGCACTGCTTCTTTCAATGTCTTTTTTTTCCCCCATGCACAACCAGCAATTGAACAACAGATTGAATTCCCAGATTCTTGACCCTTTTTCCGTTTTCAATGATAACTGCAGCCGCAGAGAAGTGAGCCCTTGGAAAAGGAGATGTCAAAGTTACAAGTAATAGGTTTATTCCATGCTGAAAAAAAGAAGAAAGAGAACACAACGTTTGGGCCGTGGAGCCTTCTTCAGATGTCAAAGTTAGTTTTTTTTCCCCCTTCCAAAAAACAAGCGAGAGTTTTTGGGTCTTTTAGTTTCTCTGGGTTAACCGAGCCCATGCTTGTTATTGTGTTTTGATCGGGCATTCTGATATTCACTCCAACACTTTCACTTCTTTCAGGCACAGTAATACCTTTTATGAGTCACACATACTTTCAGCACTTTTCAGTTTTTTTAAAGCATTTTTCAAAAAGAGCACAGGAAAGCACGTTCTGTTTCAAATCAAATGCCAGGCTTTTTTTCTTTGAAGAAGAGGAAGCAGACTGATATTTGCCATTCGGGGGGTTAGGCCATGTGTTGTGTGTGTGAGCGTTCTTGATGTAATATGGAAAGGAGGAGTGGAACACAACTACGTTGCACTCATGTGGAAGCATGTTATGATTTCTCTTGCCAAAAAGCTTATTTCGAGTGAGTTACTGTTTTGAAACCTGCATATATTTTCATTTTACTTTTCATAATTGAAGAAGATAAGTTTTCTGTTTGCTTATTATACATGCACAGACATTACTTAAAATGTATGTGAAGTATTTATCTGGATTTAAACCTTCTCACTATCTAGCACATGCAAGCTTAATATACTTAATATACTTTTAAAGACTACTTACTGTATAAACACTCTCCAAATAGCAAAAAAAAAAATGAAGTTATTTGCATCGGTTGCAGTTCGGTATGAAATGGCTTTGAATTCATAGTTATTATAGTACTTGAAATAGATGTCCAAACCCTCACCTGTTTGAGTGTCTTGGCCAAAGTATTAGTCTGCTTACATATTACAACAGGCTTAAGAAAAGACGAGTGCCTTGGGAAAGGAAATAAAAAGAAATGGAGATAGAAAGGGGGCAAAGATATGTATATCTTGTTAAAATGCCAACTACACAGACAAAACGCTGGCCTCTTCAGCTGCTGAACTTCTAATTTCCAGGACACGGGGAAATTCAGCTTAGCAAAGTGAACACACTAAACACGCATTGCCAGGAGTGTTTCAGAAAGGAGGGTGCAGTCATGCAAATGCTGCTCATCTGCTGTCGACAAAGGCTGTAACTAAAGCAGGCATCGTCAGGGTCAGGAGGAACAATGAAGGATTCACTGCCCTGATGCCATCTGTAGCATTTGGCTACTTGGCCAGCACAACAGTCAAAACCCTTCAGTCGCAGGTTTCCAGTGCCACTTTAGAATGGAGTTGGATTGTCCGGATAACATTTGCGCAGATGTGATTTGGCTTTAATGAGTCTGTGTATGAGATTATCTCTGTCATCGCATCCTCTGTGGAAGATGATCATTTTGCATGTGGTTTTTCACAGATAAGAGCTGGTAGTAACACCAGATGTTGTTGTTTTTGTGCGCGTGTCTGTGTTTTCCCAGACACAGGAGGCTGAGGATGATAGGGCCCGGCCCTCCGTGGTCCTGAGCAGCGCCGACGGAGACGCCACCAGCGCCAAGCGGGCCCGGGACGAGAGCCTCGTGCCGCTGGTCATCCCCGTGTCGGTGCCGGTCCGGCAGGTGGACAGAGCATCGCCGGGCAAGGAGCAGGGGGAGGCGGGGTGGGGGCAGAGAGGAGGCCAGCAGGACCAAGCGCAGCCCGAGCACAAGGCCTCGGTCATCGTCACGCGCCGGAGGTCTCTGAGGAACTCCCTTTCCGAGAGCACCGTCCAGGTCTGACCCACTTTCCCTGCCCTTTTCTCCAGTTGGGGGAATACTCCATAATCTCTTTTCCCTCCGGTCAAGGCTTAGTGTTGTTGTTATAATTCCAGCCTCAGACGGGCTGTTTGTGTGGCTCATTTTATCCAGATTTATTTTTATTGCTCCTGGTGTGATGCCTTTGTGTTTGACCGTACTGAGGATTCTGATGATCCTAGCTTTCAACCTTTTCTTGCTCTGATGTCTGATTGGTTGAGCGCTCCAGATGAAGTTAGGAATCATTTTGGTCCGGCTGCTCTATAGTGTGATTAAAACGGGGCCAGAGCAGAATTATCAAATTCATGCTAGAATTACTCATCAGAATTAGTAATTCACCGAAGGTTATTTCACATTGACATTCTGAAGAATATATACTTTAAAAATCCACCATTCTGATAAAGGAAGCTAATAAGTTCTTTGAATGAAAACTGACTTGTTAACAGACTGTTTAAGGATTACTGATAAAAGCTCGCTGGCTGTGATAAGTAGAACGAAGCCGAAGTTAAAAAATGTACTATTAGTGCACTTTGTGCAGTCAGTTACGTGTGGTGTTTTTATTTTGCATGTTTTGTCCCAAAACTAAAAATAATCCATTCTTAAATATTGATATTTGGTTCTGTTATGTTTAAAAATGAACACTCCCAAGAAGAGTACACGCAGTAAACAGAAGCCATTTGCTAAGTATCTTGTGTCTGGCCCTGCAGAATGCAGAAGGCCACTCTATGTGAATGTGTTGGGTGTGCTCTGTTTTGTGAAAGATGTTTTGTTTGAGTCGCTCATTTTGGTAGAGGGGTTCTGTACACAGTGCAAGTATCCCCTTTGCCTTTGCCAGTCAACGGATGAGAAGCCACATGTCGTCTTTTGATCTCTGTCCTCTAGGACGGCGAGGGTTTAAAGGAAGATGAAGGCAAAGGGGGGGCCAAGTCGAAGCGCCGACCTCGGCCGGAGCCCCTCTTCATCCCTCCCAAACCAGGCACCTTCATCGCCCCCCCGGTCTACTCCAACATCACCCCCTACCAGAGCCACCTCCGCTCCCCGGTGCGCCTGGCCGACAATCCCCTCACCATGCCCCCTTACACCCCTCCGCCCATCCTCAGCCCCGTCCGCGAGGGCTCTGGCCTCTACTTCTCCACCTTCCTGTCCACGGCCTCCAACAGCCACGCCGCCCCCCCGCCCATCACGCCCAAGTCTGCCACGCGCAGCCTGCTCAGGTCCAGTAAGTACCTCTCGCCGTGCCTGCACTACTTGCAGTGGAGCTCAGCCACTTCCTTCTCCAGAGGTGTTTTTCTTAGCTTTACAAAAAGTACAATTTACAAAAGATTGTGACGCTGTGGTGGCGGTTGAAGCGGCAGTGATCCACTTTTTGTGTATGCTCCTAAATAATTCACCACTTTTTCAAGACTGGCCGCTTTAATACAGATGTTACAAATGAAACCTCCTTGAGAGTAAATTGGGAGTTTTTTTTTCCTCTGACATCATCCTTTGGTTTCAAGACAAAGAAAGTGAAATTATAATACATTTGTTGAAAAAGCTCTGGGAATGCCAGTTGAACATGACTTTTATTACTATACTTCCTTTAATATAGCAATTATAATGTAGGCCTTTTGCTAATGGATGTAATTACCTTTGAATATATTTAAAGGTATTAAGCTCCTCAGCAGACTGCAGTGCAGTCTTTTCCATCTACATAGTTTATGGTACATAATAGAAGTTCAGTGCAGAGCTTGCATGAGCAGGTCTCTTATCGCTGGTGTGTGTATATCATCAGTTCTCAGTATCAATTGCCCAGTGCAAATTTGTGTTGTGCTTGCTAGTATATTTCACAACAAATCATCCCTAATTTTACTTTCATTTTGCAATTGAGTATTGGTGACCTGCTCCCTTGAAACTGGCTTCATCAAGGCTGATTCTTTAGGCTACACTGGTAATCTTTACAGTGAGCTCTAAAATCACTTCAGGTGAACTGCAGCAGACAATTTTGTTTTGCATTTACAGCAGCTATGGTCTTACAAACTTCAATATTGGCAGTACCTGGTTCTGGGAGCAAGGTCACTTTTAGAAATCTTGTAATGGTTATATATAATGTTCCCATTATGTTTTGTTGAAAGAGAGCTAAATGGTTTCTAAACCATCAGATTTAGAAACTCATTATTCTCATTCTATTTTGCATTATCTACCAAAGTTCAATTAAGATCCATTAATATGACATAGTAAAATTGTATAGCTATACATATCCAAAGACCACAATAACTAGTGTAGAATATTTTTCTATATATTAAAAAATGTTTGTTTTGAAAGCGGTTGGAAATATGAGTAGAAAGTATAAATAAAGTAAGTCAGTAGTGAGTATACAACAGGTATTTCTCTTAATGATGGTAGTTTTGTTTGGTATGTTGAGGATAGGCTAGCACCAGACTCATACAGGACCCCAGAACTGTTGTTCTAGATGTGTGGAGTATTCAGGAAGTTTAGAGGGATTCAGTTCCTCCCTGATCAATGGCTTTCATCTGTGTACCTCTGCAGACAGCTCTGACATCACCCCTCCAGTTCTTCCAGCAATGGGAGAGGCCACCCCTGTGAGCATAGAACCGTAAGTGAAGATTGTACCGCTTGTATGTTTACCTGTGAATCCAAATGTCCAAACCACTGCTTCAATGTCATGACCATGGACACAATGCTGTAGGGGCAGCTGTCTTTCCTATTAGATATCAACCCAAGGTCCTGTTTAATTGGTGATTAAAGATCCCACTGCACGTTTTGAAAAAGCAAAGGTGTTAACCCTGTCTAAATTTAACTCTGGCTTGTACAATGTATCAGTTGAACTAATGAAGTCACTTCTCACTCCCCCCCGATCTGCCCCTGTTGTGGGGCCACTGGTGACAATGGGCAGCCGTGTGTCAACCAGGAGGTGGTTCAGTGGTGGGTGAAGTGGTTCCTCTCCTAAACGTAAAACAATTCAAGACCCTTTGAGATTAAAAGTGCTACGCAATGAGCAGCCTGAACCACCAGGAGTCTTTTCTTCTTGTGTCAGAAGGCACGGCGTACTCAGTCTACATAGTAATTTTTGTTGTCTCCTTCCTGTTGAAAACAGTGTCTCAAAAAAAAAAGAGAACCGTAAAGGCTTGTTTGAATGTGTAGATCATCACTGATCCACGTTTGGTCCAAGTTTGATCCAATCTTTGTGTTCGTGTGTTCGAAGACGACGGTCTGTAGCTGGGCAAGCCTGTAGCTGGTGGTGTCTGTCTTGAGCAGTTGGCACATGGGTGCCACGGCTGTCGGCAATGGGCATGCCGTAGGGTGGCTGTAAGCCTGCAGAGCCTTGCAGAGCATGGAGCTGCTGAGTGGAGTGAGTCACACAGCTAACACTTTCACAACACGAGCTGTCGATCTTGTTTTGTAAGACCAACTTGAAAACCAGGCTGGTGTTCCTGCATATTAATACAGGGCAAAGACTAATTGTCCTCTACTTAGTATGAAACAATTTGCCACAGAAATTCATTGTGCCTCGCCTTATTGTGTCTGTGGCTCTTAGAGAGCTTGAGTGTAATTCTGAACAGTTCATTTTGCTTTCAGCTAACAACAGAGCTGTTTTAATGTAATTCAGAAACAGAATTCTCACCTGAGTGAGACATCGGATAGCTTTCTAGCTAAGTGTTTTTATGCGTTTGGACCTAAGTGATTGTAACTGCACTACCCCAGCACTTATTTATTCCTCCTGCAGTGCTTCAGTCTTTTCTTTCGGTTCAATTCAGGTGTAGATGGCCTTCCCCGGTTATTGTACAAGTGGAGGTCTTTTTCTGAGCACAATGGAAACGTGAGCTGGCCTGTGTTTCTGCCCTTGGCAGGCGGATCAACATTGGGCCGCGGTACCAGGCCGAGGTGCCAGAGATCAGAGACCGCGCAGCCGCGCAGAGAGACCAGCACAAGGCGGAGCTGGTGTGGTGCCCCCTGCAGGAGCCGGAGGCCAAGCCGCCGCGGGAAGAGAGCGGTACGGATTTCCCGCTGATGGGTTTCCTCAATTGCATTTCAGCATTGGACAAACCCAGTCTGGAAACTAGAGCGTTTTTTTTATTGTTACTTTTGCAATACGGTACCCAGTTGTAACGGAAATCTGTGCATTGACATATGAAATGTGGCATTTTCTTCTCTACTGGAGAAAACGTGCCAAAGCACTCCCTGTCTAAGACGACAGGAAATTAATACTCAGTGAAAAAAATTGTTGTATTACAACTTGTGATTATAACTTGTGATTATTAGGCTTTTTAGCAAATTACCCTAGACACAATCTTGGGGGTCAGCCTGTTTAGTAACTCTAAGCCCAGCTAAGGTTGTTTCAGTCAGCGGTCATGTTCTGCTGTGCACCAGTAGCAGCTCATTTACGTCAAGCCAAAGGAGTTTTGATATCCCTTGACTCTTGTTTAGGCTTATCCTGGTGTCCAGGTTGAATTCTGCAGGTTTTCTCACTACCACTTGAGTTATGTTTGTTGAGTCTTCCGCTTGTCTGCGTTGTGGTTGAGTTCCTGTTGTAGAAAGCCATCTGCGGAACACTTTTTAGGTCCTTCAGGATTGTGAGCACTACACGGTGCTGTGATTGCAGTTTTGGGTAAACAAATGTCAGGAGTCTCTGCACACATCCTAGTCTTGAAATTAGTTTAGCATTTTTAGGATTGGTACATACACTGTAGGGGACCACCCTTTTCCGTCTGGGAGTGGTTTTCGGATTTGTGATGGTTCTTTTTGGGCATTGCAAAGTTCTATTAGTTTCAGCCTGGATTGTTTTTCATTTCATAATGTCAGACAATACTTAATGATAGTAGACCTAAATCTGAATATTTTTATTTAACAGTCCAAAAGATACAAAAGGTCTTCGCAACGAATTGCAAAGTCATGTCATTTTTTGCAAAGAAATTGCAGGGAGGCAAACTTTATATCTCATAAAAGTGGGTTTACTTTATGTTTTTCAAATTGACCAAAAATGCTTATATGTAGGATCTCTTAAACATTTATCAAGATGACCTAGATCAGCCCTTTTACAGATGCTGAACTGTGTCTGTAGAAAGCTGTAAAACAACTACTCAGAAGGCAGATTTATCTGCTGTGTTTATCGAGGACTTTGATCTAAGGCGAACTGGTAATGCTGGTGTGTTGTCGGTTGCTTCCCTCCCAGTGGCTGACAGATGTAATCACAGTTTGTCCTTCAAAAAAGATGCTAAGAAAGTTCTTACTGGCTTTGACATGTGCTTTTACTCATGTATCGAAGAACTGCCTTTGGTCCGAGCTTGCCATGAGCTTTTGTTCCTGGTTGGACTGGGTCTGAATGCTGTGTGCTCCAACCTTCCCTTTCTGTAGTCTGTGGCGGAGAGGTGCTGCGCTGTTGGCCTGAGAGAGCCTTGTGTTCTGATGTCTCCTTCCTGATCCAGAGTGTTGCTGCTGTGTCTGTGTTTGCAGTGGAGAACCTCATGAGTCTGGCCTGCTCCAGTGCACTTTGCGGGGGAGGTACCAATCAGGAACTAGCCCTGCACTGCCTGCATGAAGCCAAGGGAGACATCCTGGTAAGTGGGGGATTCGGAGAGGGATGACTTCTAATATTTGTAAATACTTTAGTGTGTGTCCAGCCCAATGGGGCAGTATGTTACTTCTCTCCTGGAAGGGGATAAACCAAGCAGGGTGAGTTTAGAGCTTAATGTCTTTATCTTTACATAACACTTTTGCTTACACGCTGATTTTGTTCCAATATTGAATTTCGCTGTTTTTAGTTTCAGCTGTGAATAAGAATCTGGCTTAAACTTGTCAGATTCTCAAGTAAAATTACTTACTTCTTTCGATATCAAGCATTGCCTAGGAAAAGAAATGAACAAACTTGACAGTAAAGGCAGCTGTTTAAGTCAGATCTCTCTAGGGACAGGTTCTGTTCAGGCTGTTGCACTGAAACATTTTAGTAGGCATTTAATGGAAAAATGTGAGCTGCATTAGATAGGATATGTTTCTCAGTTAATCAGAATATGAAAAATCCAAAATCTGATTTGTCAATATTTTTCCCTGTGTGATATATATTTTTTTGTTTTTCTGTTACTTTATGACAATATAAGTAAAAAAATGTATGTATTTTATAGATCAAATGCAGAAGCATCTGTATCAGTCTGAAAAAAAAAGTTTTATAATCCTTCCTCCTGTTAATCTGAATCTATAATATGTGTCAGATTTGCAGATTTGGTTGAGTGGTTTTTCAACAAAAATAACAAAATTAGGGTGAACGGTAGGATGTTTTTGTTTACGAGCAGGATTTTTTACAGCAGCACTAGTCAATACTTTTGTGCTTCAGCACTTTTGTGATGACATGAATGTTCTCCAGGAAATGTTTTTCTGTCGTCTTCAGCTTTCTTGTCACCCTTCTTAGAAGAGCATACAAATGAATAATGTGCTGTTTTGCTTCAACGTTTTTTTTCACCAGTCTTTTCTGCAAACAGGTTTGTGCTTGTCTAGGAATTTGTACAACAAATTGTCATTTACACCACATTCAATGAGCATGTAATTTAAAAATAACTTTTTTTTTATACGTTCTATAACCTTTTCTGTAAAGTTTTATCTGATTTAAAATCCCTGTCAAATTAAAAACATCAATTTAAGCTATGAAATTTTGTTAGAGTTGAACCAAGTTTATTTTATTACTAGCATTGGTGAATTTGACAAAATTAACATTAAATATTGCTTAATTCCAAAATGCTTCAGTTAGTTTAACTCGGCAGTTTCATTAAAGCATTTTATTACTGTTGTTTCCTTGCTCAGAAAGCACCCTTATCTAGAGTGACTAATATCCAATAATAATATGGGGAATTAAAAAAAATCATTAATTTGATCGTTAATCAAGTACATTATAAAAGTTGACAAAATCACAAGAAAAAAAGTGATGCAGCTAATTTTTTGTAAGTGCAGTACTTACTGTATGCACAATATCCACAAATCAGTAAACCACAAATTGGGCCTTTATGTTTCAAAATTGAAGCATTTTTGAGGGAGGAGCAGTTGCCAAATAGGATGTTAACGTGGCTGTCGATGTCCAGTACCCATCATTCTGAGTTTTAAATAATCAACCTTATTAAAACTTAATAATGACTGAAAATATAATTCATTACTAATAAAAGAAAATCCTAGACAAGGACAAACTCACCATTCTCTAATTAATCTGGCAATAAAATCTAGAAAATAATTTGGGGTGGTTCCCAGCCAACACCCAACGAAACAGAGTGTTTTTACAGTGCGCTGGTTGATGTGGCACCTCACTGTAGGCCTGCATTGGTCTCACCACGGTGTGTCTAATCCATCTACATTGTACAGTGGACAGTAGATAAACATGACACCTACACTCCTCGGAATGAGGGAATCTTGTTCACGTTTGCTTTCAGCAGCATTTTATAATGGCTTTTCACATGACTTGGTCAGCTGGAATAACAGTGTGAACATGTGCTGTTCCCATTGGGTGGTTCCCATTGCTGTAGTTTTCAAGTGTGTTTTCTTGAAATTTCGGGCATGGATGCAGTTAATTTGCAGGTTGATCAAATGGGAAACAAAAGTTCCTTGTTTTGTAGATCCCCGTTAAAGGCAGTTCTAGATTTGTTTCTTAACAGGTTACGTCTTTTGTAAAAATAAAAAAATATTTTATTTTTGTACATCTCAAGGTTTGTTTTTGTATTGTTCTAGCATTTCAGATCTTAACTACATATCTTCCTTTATGGCTTTAAATGCTTCATAGCTAACTTACTGTAAAAAAAGGAAATGCATTTTTGCTTTGACACTTGAAAACTTTGGCCATAAACAAAACATCATCATCAAAACATTTACAAAATTTGTCTTTTCCTTAGATTTATTCAATTCCACTGTCCCACAAGATCCTTAAAAGACTTAATTAAGAGGCTACAGTGCATTTTAGGTTCTACTCTCAAACAAAACACCATTTAGAAGGAGATTAAGTGTAATTGCACTGCTGCTATAAAGGTAGCCTTCCTTTGAAAAACAAAAAGCTTTTCAATTGTTTAAATATCTGTGGTTAGGGCTCAGAATTACTAAAGTTTTTTTCAAATCTTTTTTTGTCAGTCTGGATTTTGTTTTTTTGTACAGGTTTTTAAACTGATCTTCCTTTCCTTTATGTGACAAGTACAGGCCTGGGCAATTCAAAGATGTGTTCCAGAGGTACTGTAAAGTGAGGATTAGGATTTGCGCTTATACATTTCATGTCTTGAAAAGCAGCAATCACCAGAGATACTGCTCGTTTACTGGCTATGGTCATATCATATATAGGTAATCTCTGAGCTCTTTTTTCCTCTCTGTGTATGTGGGGGTTTACAGGACTGAAATAATTAATTTCAAATCTAGCACCTAGTTAACAAAATTGGAAACAAAATTGATCATGATCCGTCATGTTCACTTAGTTTTGTAGGATACAGACTGTCTTTACCTCAGAGTAACCTACATGCTCACTAAGGCCCTCACTACCTATTGTTGTCAGTCAATGTACCTCACCCCCCTTGTTGAAGAAACGTAGATTGTAATTGGCCGTAGAACAGCCAGCCCTGCTGTAGCAGTAAAGCAGTTTTCTGGGTGTTACTGTCGGGGTTAATCCAAATGTGGTATGGCTTCCACTTCTATTTCTTATGTGGTTCTTTGCTTATGGTGTCCTGCCTTAGTTCAGTTCAAACATCTTTATTGGCCTGAATTACAGTGTTGCCAGAGCAGATGAGATTAAAATAACATCTACAGACATTTACAATACAAACACATCATAAGACGTAAGATGTAAAATACAACACGTAGAGAGACTGGCTCACTGTTCCTCAGGTTGTGACAGTTGCTGCTGAGCTCAATTGAGTGCCCTCCCCCCCAACTCCCAGTAGGATTGGGAGCTGTTTTGATTCTGGCAGATGTGGGAATTCTGGGATTAGATTTGTAATTTGGGGGAAAAAATATTTGTCTAATCCCAGAGTATTTCATAAGAGTGCAGCAGAAAATGCATCTCTGTCTCCGTTTCTGCCCGCTGGCAGTGGGAGCACAAACTTTCCTCTCTGAGCAGCCAGGTCTGCCTGTGTCGCACAGTTTCTATGGTCAGATTGTGGTCACTGAGCCTGTACTTTGTCTGGGTCAGTTTCTTTTTGTTGTTTTTTACCTTGGTCAAATATTTGGCCAGTATGTATTGTCTGTACAGGGTTTTGTAGCATTCCAGTTGATGTTGTGTTTGTGTGTTTGATCTGTGCTGTGGTGTTGTTGATTCTGATTTGGGGCGCTCTAGCAGTGTGGTCCTGAGGTCGGGTGGTATCCGTGTGCCTTGGCGCAGTGAGCTTTAGGACCAGCTAGCTCAGAGGGCTCTTCTTTACGCTTAGCTCTTAGTTCAGCAGGGCCTTGTTGTGATAGGAGTTTTGGTCACTGCTTTTGAGATGTAGGCCGTAGTTTATTACTCTCTTCTGTATGTTGTGTAAAAACATCCCACGTGTGCAGAGAAAAACTACTAACAATTAATGCAGGGCTGAATATCTATAGGGTGTTTATCCCATTTTATGTAATCCTGATCTGTGAGTGGACCCCTCATTTCACTGCCATATAGGGCAATGGGTTGGATTAGACATTCACATATTTAGAGCCAGATTCTTGTAAAAAAGAGATGGTATTGAAAAGAAAGAACAATGTACCTTCTCACTCAGTGCCTTTACTGCCAGGTCAAAACTCCTATGAGCTGATAGTCAGACCAAGATATGTGTAGGTGGATGTGCGTTCCAATGTGTTGTTGTTCAGTGTGAAGACTCTGGTCTTGTCCAGATTCACTGTCAGCCCCCAGGTCTGACAGTACTACTTCAGCAGTGCCAAGCTCTGCTGCAGCTTCTGTTCTATGGGTGACTTTTGTCTTTTTGATTATCTTCATATTTACAGTTGAATAAGATTAAATAATAATGTAATTTTGTTTCTCACGTTATTATGCATGACCAATAAAAATCAAGGTACATACATGCAAAAATATAAATTGTTCTTTGTCCTCTTTACTACTTTGAAGTACACAAAAAGTGCTTTAAGTATCTTTCCTTTTAATAAACATTTACTATCTTTCATTTAGCAGCAGCTTTCAAATGTTTCTTTTGGAAGTGTTTGTAAGCATCCTTACAATCAATTCTAAAAGAGTGTAGGAGTATGTCTGTTTATGAACAAGATTTTGGAATTAAATCAACATCTCTTTCAGCCTCTGCATTCAGGTGTGTTTCTTGTCTTGCCTTCTTAGGAAGCCCTGACGCTTCTGCTCTTAAAGAAGCCCATTTTCTCCAAGAATCACCCTCTTGGCAACTATCACTATTCAGGTACTAAAACCATGTTACCTTTTGTGTTCTTCTGTTGCTGTTTCATGCTTGTTTAGCACGGTTGTTTGGTTGGTGGGTCAAAGCAGGATGTTGACCCACCACGCCATAAAAAAGCTGTTGTACTGAGGTTTTAATGAAAAAAAAGCTATATGTGGTTGTGTTTAAGAGGTTTTTTTTCAGATGCATAAATTGACATCAAAAACCGTCAACAGTAGAATCTGGCTGAGTTGCACTTAGCAGGAGTCTAAGCAATGATAAAATTGTCCAGTCATCCTACAACACTTCCACAAGCTTTGGGGATAAATATCAGTTTTTTTGCATGAGAATGTGCCTCAGGCCCTGCATGATACACAGGGCAAAGCTGTGAGGTAGTTGTACTGCAGTGTTTGAGCCAGTGCCATTTTGTGTTTGGCATTGTGTCATGTTTTGATATTGCATCTGTACAAAGACTGTACATTTTATGTGTGACATGGCAGTGGAAAATGCTAAATGTCTTTTCTTCTTTCAAAAATGTAGAAATACAAATTATTTTAATTACACCCACTTGTATGGTTTCCCCATCTTGCTATGGACCTTGTGACCACACACAGGGTAGAAAGCAGAAGTGCAGGCAAACTCCTCAGCCCTCCCGAAAGCCTAATGGCACCACTGCCCTGTAGCGGAGGTTCAGTGCCTAACGACACGTCGCTCCAGAAGGCACCACGTGTCTGAAAGTGCACTGGCCGTCACAGGGGTTGCTGTGTCACCGAGAGCCGCGACAGTTCCTGGCCAATTAACCCCCTCCTTTCCACCACACCAGTGGTGCATGACCTCTTGGGCGATCGCTGTTACAGTCAAGTGCCTCCGCTGGTTAGCCACCTGAGAGGAACCACCATGCAGAGTGGTTAATCGTTTATAACGTGATCTGGCTGCAGTTTGTAAAAATGTGTTCTTCTTTTTCTGTCATGAGATAAGCTCCTCTTTAGGAAAACCAGGACAGACAATTAAAGGGTGGTGTGGCTGCCATCTTGGTAGTGCCGATGGAGACACTCGCACACAAGAGCTTTGAAACTTGGAAAAACTTTGACCATAAACTCATGATGTGCGTTTTCAAAACTTGTCTTTTTTTAGAGATCTATTCAGTGCCGCTGTCCTGCAGGTCCCACTCAAGCCACTTCAAAGTAACTTGGCGTTCAGTTTACGTCAAAGACGTAACTAAGAGGCTACAGTGCTTCTTGGGTGCTGCTCTCATAACAAAACCCCATTTAGAAGTAGACGAAGTATAATTGCACTGCTGCTGTAAAGGAGGCCTTCCTTGGAGTGGCAATCTTCCCGTGGTGAGGAAACCTGGACAGTTCCACTATGTTTGGGAATAATTGTTTAGAAGGACTAGGACTATTTTGAAACCCCTGTCTTTTTAAAAAATGGCAAACCCTGTATGGTCACTGGCTGTGAAAGTGATGGAAGAGAGTGTGGTGTGTGGGGCTTCCGGTCCTGTCATGGATGAGCTTGATGAGCAGTGCAGGGCCTGCGTGTCTCCTGAAGCAGAGCAAGCGGCCACCTGGTCAGGCCCGCTCACTCTCTCTTCCTTCACAGGGTCAGACAGGTGGACCTCTGCAGAGAGACGGTATTTCAACAAAGGAATCACTGCTTATAAGAAAGACTTCTTCATGGTACAGAAGCTGGTGAGCTGGAGAGTTTTTTCTACTTGTGTTTAAGGGCCATGTTGAATAAATGGCCACACCCTTCACCATGACCTCCTTAGATACCAGTAGCTAGTTTTACAATTCTCTGTATTTCTGGGTTTTGACATTTCCTGCAAAAATGTTTACTCTTTTCACAGTGAAAACATTTCTGTTAGTTTGAGAAAACTGTCAGACATCTTTGTCATATCATTTCTTATCATGACCGTGAGACATTTAAGGAGTTTATTTGGCAAAACTAAGCCTGTTGCTTCTGTTCTCCAAGTCCAAGCACTTGATTTTTTTTTCAGTGCTTTAAAGGGACAAATCTTCAATAACATTGTAGAATATTTCAAAAATCCATCGTTTTGAAAAATTAAATGCAAAAGTTGTTAAATCATTTAGTTTACACTTTTGCATATCTTAAGTATTTGTAAAAAAGGGCGGCGAAATACTTTCAGGTGCCATTGTGATCTTGCCACATGTACATCATGACAGAATCACAAATCATTACCTTTTACCTTATGTGGTTTTCTGAGTATTATTCTGTGTAGGTTTTTCAGGCTAACCGTTGTTCAGATGTACTACATAGGCAGGAAACGCTTTTAAGAGTCAATATAAAACAAGTGCATTTTCATCTGATTTTAATCCACGCAGCACTTAAAGCACCCAAGTCTCAAAATTGTGCATTACTTTGTTTTTCAGAGCTAAAACTTAATGGGAAATAATAAATGCGGTTGTTTTTTCACACTCAAGAGCAGCCTCTCGCATATTTCTAGTGCAAGAGAGCTCTGAATCACAAGCAGTTTATGCCTGAATTGAAGTATTCCCTGCCATCAAAGTCCAGCGTCTGCACTCTGGTTTGTGTATTTGTGATGTTCGGTATGCAGTATGGTGTACCTGCAAAAATAAGGAGGAAAGCAACCTAAAATATCGCTCCTTGGCTGTCTAAGAAGAGCAAAACAACTTAAAATGTTGTACATTTTCTGTCGGAATGTACTTAACATGGGCATACTCGGAGCAAATGGCCTCTAGTGGTTTTCCAGAAAGATCTGAAAACAGTTGAAACATGTATCTGCAGAAGGGGGTAACTGTCTGCTGGCAGTAAAATGTGGTTCTTTGTTCAGGTGAGGACGAAGACGGTGGCTCAGTGCGTGGAGTTTTACTACACCTACAAGAAACAGGTGAAGATCGGACGCAACGGCACGCTGATTTACGGAGACTCTGAACCGGCAGAAGGGAAGAGTCTGCAGGATGAGGTGGAAGTAAATGTGAAGGTCAGTTTGGGATGTGGTGTCATTCCAAAGTGGATGTTCATCTGGCCCTCACAGGAAAAAAAAAAAGCAAAATTTATCTTTGAAGAGTAGTGCAGATAGTGGACTTGCAAAATGCTTCACCAACAAATGGTGATGTAATTTAAGTTTTTTTTTTTAGGTGAAAGGCTACATGTGCTGAAACAGGGTGATGATCAAGTCCTCTAATAGTGTGCTGTCAGCAAGGTTGCTACTGAGTGGGTGAGAGACATTAGTGGGTGAGGGACATTTATCATGAAGGTCTACTGGGCCACAGTGTCTGAGATCCCTCAGATTGCTAATCGATACCCACAATTAAGATGTAGGAAGCGATCTGTTAGGATGAGTAGATGAGACATTTTGATTAAACCAACTTTCCCCTTTGTCATCACCACTGACCTTGGCATTTTGCACAGCTGTGATTTTTACGTTGTACGTCTCAAGTGAAGAGACCAAGCCTCTTGGCTCTCTGGCCCACAGAGTTCCCAGCGGTATGAGCCCGCTGTCAGGGACACTGCCCAAGACGAAGATGAAGATGAGAAAAGGAAGTGGGTGGAGCTGGCAGACAAGAGGCAAGGCCCCAGCCCTCCGAAAGTGACACAGGCGCTCCAGGCCTGCGAAAACGTGAGTGACGAGCTGCTCCCCAAGTTCATAGGTCTCGCTGTCACAGCTGTGTGTCACCTTCATCGATAAGACTGGGGGTTAAGAAACATCTGAAATGTAGTGAGTTTTAATGGTGTCTTATGTGTTTCTGAGCTGTTTGAGGTTTTTTATATTAAATCCAAGACCCCTTCTTGAACACAGCTGTTCTGAAATTTACAAAAATCATACATCTGACAGATAACTCTGCATCAGCATGAAGAATCAGACAGTTCATGATGCATACATTTATTCTTCCAAATGACATTGTGTGAGAAAGGGATGTAAAGCTGAAATCACCTGAAATCAGAACTACGTATAGCAATACGGAGAGCAGCATGTTACAAATTAAATAATTTGTTTCTGTGAAAGGCAGAAACTACTCTGCTGAATTTGATGTCATGTCACCTTCCATTTGAAGATGTTCTTAAGCATTTTTAAGCAGTGAATGTACGACGTCTTGTACATTTTCTACATGAACTGGAGTTGGTTGATTCCTGTGCATAATGCTCTGTAGGGATACTGCCCTCTAGTGTTGACTGATTGTAACTATTGAAATAATCTAGATCCTTCAGAATGCATTGGGGCAGGGCTGCCCAACCCTATTCCCTTTTCTTTCCCAGTTAGGTCACTTGCCTGGACTAGCTCACTGTTTTGTTAGACCGTTTCAGGTTTTTCACTTCCACAAAAAATGCAAGATTTATGTATGAGAAACTTCACCAAAGGTGAAATTGATTTTAAACTGAAAACTGTTGCAAAAGACTGAATTAGATTTTTAGTTAGGCTAAATAATTGGAGACTGAGGAATGGAGCAAGCAACCCTGTAAACCAAAGCAGGTTTGGCCTCGTTTCCCCAATACAAACAACCCTCATGTTATTTCAGTGCACATTCCATCAACTCTGTTTGCACCACAGCTGCATAGCTAGCTCACCGTTCTGTTCATACCCATACAAGCCAGTCCATGAGCTAGATAGGAAAGCGATTTTGTTGGCAGCCAAAACAAATATATGTTATGCGGTAGGGTGGAGACCAAGATCATACTTGGTTGCACATATTTACAGAAGTGTTCTTGTGGAAGGAAGTATATAGGTAACGTTTTACTATTGCAGAAACTGTGACAGCATTTTCTGCAAAACCTGCATGGGTTTTTATTCTCTCTCATTTCTTAGTCTGTGAGCTGTCATTATCCGTATTTGGTATTGGGTTTTACTTTTCTTGTTTTTTAACAAATAAAACAAATGCTCCTATGACACTCCTAATTTTAGCCTTTAAAAAATGTAAATTATATTGTCAATTCCAATATAATTATATAAACTTTAATAAGCTGTTATTTTTGTGCCCATCATCATACCAAGGGCATTTTGGCCCAGTAGTGTGCTGTAGCTGTGAGGCACATTGTGCAGGCCTGTTCTCCAAATCTCCGCGAGGCTGATGGCGTCGTGTGTCGGCTGTTTCAGGCCGGCGAGGTACTGGTCCTGAGGAGTCAGGAGGCGCCCGGCGAGGAGAAGAAGAGAGACCGGCAGGCGCCCCAGCCCCCGCCTCCTGCCCCAGCGCCGAAACCACGCCAGGAACCTGCTGCTGCAGACAAGAAGAAAGCTGCACCCTCTACCGTCAACAAGGGCCAAGACCAGGAGAATATTTTCCCCTGCAAAAAATGTGGCAGGTGAGTGACCAGTACCATAGCTGGGGAGACATTAGTGGGCCAGGTTGCAGACCCACGCTATCATCTAATCTAGGGGAAATAAGTCCTGACCCTTGACCTTTTTTGGAAGGCCTTTTTTTGGAAGTTTCAGAGTTCAGTAATGAAATGCTCTGGTAATGTCCTCTGTTATTTTACATTAATCACCCAACACCCAAACTGAGTAGAACAGCACCCCACTTCTGTCCTCTTCTTGGTAGCTCTTGACAGCTTAAACGGCAAAATCAAAGGGCGCTGTTAAGTTCAAGCAACGAAGGCAACATATGACTCTAGTTCATAAGTTTGTTTTTTCATTCATCAGTTTTCCATAAACTTTCCTGTTGTGGCTAGTGGTCATTAGGAAGAGCAGGTCCGCTTTTGTTGTCCAGTAACAATAACTGTGATGACTTGTAGGCAGATATTCACACTCCAAGTTTCCGTGGAAGTTAAGAATAATCTTAAACATTAAAACTTTTATGATGGCTTCTCACCATTGAATCGTCTATTACATTTGCAAAATATGTTCTGCATTTCCTGTTCTCCTGTTTGCTGAAGTCAGATTGTCACATGTTAGTGGAGAAGCCAGGTCACTTGTTTTCTGTGAAATTGCCATTCAGCATACACTTCACTGACGCATAGCACAGGTCAGGGCTGAAGAGACCCTGTGTATCCCACTGACTTACCTCAGAAGCAGCATAGGTTGAGGTCAGCTCTCCTATTAAACCTATTAAGCACTTTAAAAAATTTGTATGTTGTGAAAAGGCAGGGAATGTAAAACAAACAAAAATGCATGAATGACTCGGTGTTTAAGCTTCTTTCCCGTGAGTGTCAGTTTTTACATTTGGCGAGCTCTAGGTTAGTCACAAATCCAAGTGGAGATTGCATCACAGATGTTTTTGGTGTGTGCTACATCCTTTGCCCCCCAACAGCTGAGCAATGATAACTCTGGCGTCTGGGAAAGCTGGAACATTTTGATGTTTTTACATTTAGATTATACATATACATACAATAAGACCATCTCTTATTCGATTACATTTATGTAAGGTGTAGAGCAATCAGCATGTAATCCTGTTTGTTGACATAAACACTTATTCCATTTTGACTCGTTTGTTTTTTTACAGTTCAATGCTGGTTTCACTCTCGTATACGAGCGGTGTAAAACAGCTTTCCATTATAAAGATTAATTTATCTGTTTTGACATGCAATAAGCATGTTATTGTGTTCCATGTTTCATGGTAGGTTAACCTGTTTGGATTATTCCTGGCTGCATTGAACAATAAATCCACACTGACTGATCTTTTTCACATATGCTAAGAGAGAAAACAGTACTGTATTTATTGTGATAAATTAGAAAACCATTCCCCTTAAATTCTCAGTTCTGCATACGAAAAGTGATCAAATTTAAATACAAATCTGGAATGCTCTGTATGGTATATAAACCTGCTGTGAAGATCTTGCTTGCTGTAGAAATTAGTTTGTCTGTTGTCACAGGCACTAACTACTGCCTTCTAATAGGAAACTGTCATATTGCTAGTTGTAAATGATGAGTAATGGTTTATGTTCTTCCCCACCCCTTTCTTAAACCTTCTCTTAGAAGAGCTCATGGCAAGAATAGACTAAGGCATACAGATTCTTTAGTGTTTCAGTACTGTGCTGAGAACCTGTTATTAACAACCGTTTCCTAGCAACTTGAACACACGAGAAGGAAACAGAATGGCATGTCAGCACATCCACTTTGCTGCTTTATTAACTGGAAGAAACAAAAGTAAATAATTGTACCAGAATATGGAGGGAAAAGTATTATATAAGGTAACACTCCACCTGAATTACCCTCAACTGTATCTGAATCAGCACAGCATTTTCACCTTGTGTCTGTAGGTTTCAGTATGGCAAGCTTTTTGGTTTGATGTTCCTAGTTTTTGAATTGTCTTGCACAATAGATTCCTGGTAATGAACAATTCAATGGAAGAAATAACCCTTTAGACTACTATAAACCTAGGGCTCAAAGTCCTGTTGCAGGGCCCTGGGAGTTTAAGTTAACATTTTATGAGACAACAACACATTGTGAACTAATGGGAAAAGGGTCTAAAGTGTTTTTTTCATGCCAGGTACAAAACCAAGCATCTCTTTTTTCTAATCATGGCGGGGCAGAGGAACTGAGACAATATTACAAATCAACTTTAGATAACAAGCTGAGCTCTCATGTTCTATGTGAGGTACAAACTCCACACTTTGTTTTATCATGATTGGTACAAGCAGACGTTTTAGTAGATAATTGAATTTTTGGAGTGCGTAGATCATAAAAACCTGCTCCCTAATGTTTAACAGCTAACTGCAATTTGCTACATGGCCAGATTCACAAAATAATTGATGGTATCTGGCAACGTTTTGCAAAATTAGCAACTGAATACTGCCACAGAGCGAAGTAAATGTCAGGGTACCAATTCAGCTGGGCTTTTTTTTAGCTAGGAAAGGCGCTACAGAATTGTACGTCATTGTGCTTTCTTGATTGAAAGAATCTAACAGTACTCTTACGTTTCTGCCTTGTCTCCTTTGTGGCCTTCAATTGCAGCTATGTTTAGACTAATTGACCCCGCTTGCTTGGATGAACCTTTTTTAAACATATGCTATAGATGGCTGGCAAGAGATTTAGCAGACAGTTTATGTTCAGCCTGTCCTTGGCTTCCTTCTTTTGTTGTTGTTTGTTTGCGGCTCTCTAAATGACCCTTACTAGCTTACCAGTCAGTGACTTAAAGTACATACTCTGGTGGAAATTCAAACACTCTCAGAATAAACCCTGTTTATTCTCCACAGTCCAAATTGCTTAAATTAAAACTTGCCTAAACAGTGGGAGTTCTCAAACTTGTAAACTGGGACAGGCTAGGTGCTAATTCCTAACCCTATCCAGCTTTTTAACAGCTAAAAATAGGAATTAAAAAAACACTAGGTCTCTGGGCAGCTCACACAGTAAAGAGCATGGGGTTGAGAACGGAGGCCCAGATGTTCTGAGCTGAAGCTTGAGTGGTGTCGCCAGACAGTGGGCGATGTTACTACAGTGGGACAGGTTTAGGATTAGTGGGCTAGAAATCTCAACAGATAGACACATTGGGGCTTCGGGAACTTTCTGTGCACTTGCAGGACTGCAGTGATGCCATCGAGCTGCACTTCCATTCAGGTGATGTAGAACTTGCAGGGTCGGATGACAAATATTTTTGTAAGCAGGCCAGTCAGTGAAACGCTTCGGGCCTCCTGAATGGCTCAGTCCGTAAAGGCACTGTCCCTAGCGCAAGCTGAACTCTGTGATTCAGGTGTCAGCCCGGGTTGTGTATTAATAAAAGCCAGTCGTGACTGGGATTCCCCAAGGGGTGACACAGAATTGGCCAAGTGGCGCTAAGGGGAGGGAGGGATTTGTTGGTCTGGGCTCTCTCGGCTCTCAACAGCACTCTTGTGGCCTTCTGGGCTCTTGCAGGCGTGCACTGCTATTGGTGATGACCCCGCCCCTCCTCCAGTAGGTTCTTAACAACTGGTATGGGGATGCAAAGCTGAGAGGCTTGAAGGTGGGCAAGCCGGAGGAGTCTGTCCTCACTTCCCCATTCCCTGCTGAGAGCAGCTGCAGGGGTCGTCACAGAGAGCCGACATGGAAAATACTAGAGATTCCAAATCCTGGGGGGGGGGGGTTAATAATAATAATTAATAACAAAATTGTCAACCCTGGCCTACCCTTTTAAGAAAGGGCCTCCCCAGGGGGTGCAGCTGAAGTCATTCGTGAGGCTCAGCTGGCGCGAGAACGAGAAGGGCCCCGGGTGAGAAAGCGAGAGTCCTGCTGTGTGACGGCCGCGGCCTGTGCTCCTCTGCAGGGTCTTCTACAAGGTGAAGAGCCGCAGCGCCCACATGAAGAGCCACGCGGAACAGGAGAAGAAGGCCGCCGCGCTGAGGCAGAAGGAGGCGGACGAGAAGGCGGCGGCCCTGGCGGCCGCGGCAGCCCGGCAGAACGGAGCGCAGGCGGAGGAGAGCAGCAGCGAGGAGTCGTCGGAGGAGGGCGAGGACGAAGACGACGAGGACTGGCACTGAGGCCCAGCGTGGAGGCGGTGGGGGTGCCGTCACCATGGAAACCAAAAGGCGCGCTGGGAGCCTGGAAGGTGGGTTGCACCAGCCAGGCAGAGCTGCGTGCGGCTTGGCCTTGTGAGAGGACAAGGGATATCCCCTGCACAACCATGGAAATTTGTTTTTCATAGCACAGCACAGAGCCTGCTTCCCCTCCTTGCTCCCATTTTTGGTCTGGCTCCTTCAGACACTTTTGTTTATCTGTGAAATTTTATAGCCTGGTCTATTTTCCAGCCTGTCCTGCTCGTCCTGCTCGCCCTGCTCCTCTCAGAGCTTAATGCTGGCTGACACCATTGCACGTCTGGATTACATTTTTACAGGTCCACCTAAAAAAAACATACACCTCTGTTTGACTGTGTTTTCAAGGCTGTACTCTCAGACAGCAGAGTTGGGGACCCCCCCCACTCCAGTGAGCACTTTAACAGTGTTGCCTCGAAGGCTCAGAAATCGCAGTTAACCCTAAACCTGTACTGGAGCTCCCCCTTAATTCGGAAGGGTTTGGTTAAGACACGTGGAGACCAACATCCTCTGGACTAGCTCATGCAATGCTTCAGTTGAGATATTGTTCCACTTTCAATGCAAAAAATCTTGACTGAATGGAAAAGGATTGTTTCTTCTCCTTCTGGGCTAGAAAACTGATATTCTCAGTAGCTGACCCTTTAAGCAGGGGACTGCCAAAAAAGAACAATGTGATTTGGTGTGTTGAAAAGTGCTGTAATTTCCTTTTTATTTTGTCACTATTGATGCCTTGGATGTTTTTAAATGCTTTTTATCTCTACAAGACAATCAATGTATGAATGCCCTTTTATATTCCTGAACTTATGGTTATTATTATTGTTGTTGTTATAATATTGTTATTTTATTAATATTATTATTTTGTGTAATTGTATTTTGCAGTTCTTTTTCTCATTGGGCTGTTTTAGTTGGTCTCGTGTTCTAGAAAAACTGAGCTTCAAGAACTGATTTGAAAAACAGGAACTGAAAGTGACATTCAGTGCAATATGAAATTCTCCTTTTAAAATCCAAGGGCCTTAGTCTTATATGACTGTTTATTTCTTGGTTCATTTATAACTATTTTCGAAGCAGACATCATGGTTTTATAACTATAACAACGTTAACACTGTAACTGTGTTAACAGTACAAACAGCACATTCAGCTCTTTACCCACAGGTGTATACGGCAGTGGTCTTTAAAACTCTGCTCATGCCAGTTGTTTTTGCGGTTGTCAAAATGGTGCTTAAAAGGGTTAATCTATCACATATGAAGAAATTGATTAGGGGTTAAAAGTTTTGTCTCTTGCTTGGATTTAAATTATAGTCTCACCCAAAAGCTTGGCAATTATGTTTGCATTGTAGGAAACAGGATTCTCAGTTGTTCTGCTTAAATTAATTGGCCATTGTGAGATAAGGATGCTTTGTGTTTTTCCTGATTCATTTAAACAAGCAAAGCTCTATCTTTCCTTGCAGTCTAAGTGCATATTAATACTTGTCTGAATTCAGCATCCTCTTCACATTGTAGGGAGTAAGATGAAGTACATTTACGGACAAATGTACAAGCTTTAAGTTGTGTGGTTTCAAAACTGCGCCTTGCTGTTCATTACTGTGTATATAATTGAATTTTTTTGCGATTATATGTGCGATATTTAAATTAAGTAAGGACATTTTTCTCTTATTAAAAGCTGCACATTTTAAAAATGAAATGACTTCATATTGAATGCAGTATTGCAGAGTGGAACCTGTAACCAACAGGTTGCCAAAGTGATCATCACACAAGCCTGATCCAACATTTGTAAGATGCTGAATTTTAGTTCATGAGATTTGAATGAAGTTCAGTACACTGGACATTTAATTTACTTTGCTAAGGTGTTACGACAGGGCATCTCTCCTGCTTGGAACCAAAGCTAACAGTTTTGGTCTGTTGCACCCAGCAATTACGCCTTGTACAGTTCCTTTACGGGAATGCTCAATGAAACTTCCCTTGTGTTTGTAAAGGCCTAACCCAGCTAGGCTATTATAAGCTCGTTTCCATGGTTACTTAAACAGGAGCTTCCTTGAAACCTATGCTATTTATTTACTAGACCAGGAATTGAGGTCAGTCACAGTGGGGAAAAGAGGTTGAAACCAAATTCAACAGCACAAGTATTGTCTGTTTCGCTGTGGTGTTTATGCACAGTGTGCTTTTGTGTGTCCATCTCTCTAGTAAAAAAGATGCCCAGCCTCCTACTGAAATTCAGAGCTGCTTGAGAAAAAGAAACTGCCTGTTTTGTATTTTTTATAAATATATTTGCGATTTAACATTTCTGATCGCCGAAAAGGCATTCTGTGATGATATTGTTGTAGACTGTTTTTATTTAAGAGAGGTAATACCCCAATGATATGAACGCTAAGCTTAAAACGCTAAATGCTTTCATTCTGTACAGTTGTTAAGGGATTTGAGAATTGAAGGTTTATATAAATATATATACACATTTTCTATATTATTTTGATAACGAGCAAAGATACACTAATGTTTGAAAAAAATAAAAATAAATTTCTCAAGTGCATTTACTCCAGTGTAACTTATTTGCAATAATTATTTGATGTCTTTTATTAAAATGCTTAAAATGCTTAAGCAGTGTTGCTGTTCTGTTCCACCACTGAGTTGGCGGTGGATTAACGATCGGGGTTTCTTTAGATTCTTTACGGGTATTAAATACGGCTCGGAGGGAGCTGAGCTTTTGCAGAAGCTCAGCATGTCGAATTTAGCAGCATCCCCAGTATTTCCACATGGTTTGTATGTCCTGGTGCTGCATGGCTGTCTGCATCAGGCCATGCATGATGTCCTTGCAGCTAGACGGGTGATTTCTTTTCTCAAGATTGAAGGTAATCGGGGAATAGCACTGTGATATGGGGCAGTCATCTTTGAAACGGGGACAGAGTTCTGGAGAACATTGTACTACTTCGAACAAGGGGAATGTTTCAGTTTTGTGAGGCAAATTGCTCATTCTAACAAAGAAGGCCACCTTCCCCCTTGGTTTCCAATCACACTAGATAGATAAGACTTTATTGATCCCGAAGGGAAATTGATGAAATGATCTTTGCGTCTGGTAGATTTTGTGCTTGGAAATTGTCCATAGCATTAGTATTTTTAAAGGAACAAGAAATAGGTTTGTTCCATGCTGAAAAGAGAAGAGAGAAAACACAACATTTCGGCTGTGAAGCCTTCTTCAGGTGTATATTCTGCCATCTGCCATGAATATGGTTTGGATGTTCTTTGCGTGGTCTGCAGTGGGGAAACGTGCTGCTGTACAGACTCACCCAGCAGCTCCCGGCGGCTGCAGCCTCTCTCTCGGTCAGCTGCTGTAGTTTCTGTGGTCACGGGAGTATTTCAACAGGTCACACTTGAAGAAGGCTTCTCTTTTCAGCATGGAATAAACCTATTGTTCCTTTGCAGACTACGCATGCTGATGCAGCTACCCACCTGGATTAGTATTTTTAGTCAGAGATGTTCTTGTTTATATGGTTCAAGACCTGTTTGGCTCGCCATCTAGTGCTTTGTAGATGAGGCAAAAGCCACTGTTCTGTTATGTGATTAAGTATCATGTGCATGTTGGAGCAGCATCAAATGCCCTTTTGTACCTGACTCTCCTGGAGGCGAGCTAAATGGTGCTGAATCATTCTAGTGTGATACTGCCCATATCTGTTTGTTTCTGCCTTGCCCATCCACAGCGGGAAGGATTTCTTAACTGCCTACACGTGCTGTGTTATAATTAAATTGGCTTTTTGGGTCATGAATTTCAAATCTCCTACTATGTAGTTAAAACTGAAAGTTTTCTTGCACTGAGACACCCGAGCTTTAATACAACCACTGAGGATCTCTGCAGGACAGCCCTTCAGCAAGTCACTGGAATAACTCATTAGTGTCCTACTCTCTTAACCTCCTGCTGGAGGTTATTGATTAGTTTCTTCATAAAAAAACAAATGCTCTCCTCATCTGTTGTCTTGAAATGTTTATTGGCATTTAGTTGACCTTAAAATATAAGGGGCGTTTTAGGATGACAAAATGCAATAATTGAAAAAAGAAAGGGAATTTAATTCACTCAGAAAAACATTACAGGCATTGAAACATTGCCACATCCAGGTTCAAAGTATAGGGTGGTGTGACCTGTTGTTTTCACAAGACGTCAGAAAGTCAACCATTAGCAGCATGGCAGGCTAAACAGCAATAACCAACGCCTCTGGTGTGAGGATGGCGCCGTGCTTGAGGGTTCTGGTGCCATTCCACTTAGAGAACCAACGCCCAGCTCCTGGACGAGCTGTGGAAAAGCAGATGTTTAGGACCGGTTTTTGCAGACATGTTTCATATATCACAGTCATCGGTCATATGACATGCTAGCAGTTCTACAACACCTGTCAGGAGAGAGCCTGTCAACTGATGGAGCAACGCGTCTCTCACTGACTGTCACTGAAAACCAAGAGGCCTTCATTCTGAAAATTCCCCCTGGGAATCGGATGTTCCCTTCTTCTTCAAAGATATCAATCCTGGTCCAGTCCTGGTCAGGGGAGGTAATGTGAAAAAGACCAGAGTTAATTTGACTGAAGGTGGAGTCTGAAAGCACTGGGTGCCAACTACAGTGTTTGGGGAAGGACACAGTTGAATATCATGCAAAAAATGTTTCAGTTATATATTCACATAACATAAAATTGCCACAACTGGAAGTAGATTGAAATTATAGTAACACACATAATCTGTACCTTGATATGCAGAGTACAGTATGTGGAGTTGTAAAACTCTTCAGAACAGATCAAATATTAGTCCTTATTGTTGTGGTTCTAATTTAATTCAGTAAAACTATTCAAAAGCATTAAAACAAAGAAAAGGCATTTTCTTAGAGCTGGCAGTTTACTATTTAAAATATCTACAGATAAGTACAGTAAGAAAGGTCACACACAAGTTATAGTAAAAAATAGCTTCAGTGCTAATAATGTGATGTTAGTGTAGTGTTTGTTGCATTCATCATTGTATCACTGAAAAATAAAGTAATGTAAAAAAGAATGTTAAAAGGCAACACCGAATTTTTGTTGCATTATAATTGGCCTGAAACCATTTATTTCAAGACTTTCAGAACACATTGTCTTTTCGCATTTCTTTGAAGACAAATGTTTCCTTGCATTTTGTTTTTACAATATCATCATTTGGGAACTGTGGAAACATATTCTAGTTAGTTTACATTAAAATAATGGTTCCAAGGTAAACTAAGATGTCTAATCCTTTAACATAATGCTTATCCTTAGTAAGAATTGTAGGAACATCTTAACATAATGGAAAATTCACCATAGGGTGGCAGTATTTCACTAGGAATCATTCACAATGTACCGTTGAGTCAGTAGTTTTTTAAAATCTGTCAGTGGGTGGAAATAGCCAGGTTACTTGGTCTAACTGCTTGATTAAAATCTAGATTCCCAACAAGAATTATCACTTGTCAGGCAGGGCTTAAACACTCAGCACAAAGAACAGTATTCCTCTAATTTCTGTCATAGAATACAGCCTTTGTTCTGTGAGCTCGCCAAGTAATAGGTGATCAAAAAAAAATCTGTATAAAATAAACAATACAGGTAATGAATTATACTGTAGTTTTCCAAAATTTTGAATTTTTATTTTAATAATTTAATGGAATAAACCAGAATTGATCATTTGAGAAATTATCCATTTATTTTCTGAATCTTATAAATCCTCCATAAAAAATGTTTTCCAGGACCTCGATATCCTTCAGTGTACTTATGGACTGCCCCCTTCAATTCAGACTACAGGCTTTCAATGGGGTTCAAGTCTGGAGACTGACATGGCCATTGCAAACTATTGATTTTGTGGTCAATTAACCATTTCTTTGTGGATTGTGATGTTTGCTTGGGACCACTGTCTTGCCGGAAGCCAAAGACCAGCGGAAACAAAACATACAAAGATCCAGCACCGTTTTTAACAGTAGCTATTCAATTGTCCTTAAACTGCACCCCCACCCCACCCCCCCCCCAGGGATGAATGAAGTATTTTGAATTGAATTGATATGATGTTCTTTTCTGCATATGCAGTGGTGTGTGTGGCCAAACAGCTCTATTTTTCTCTCATCTGATGATAGCATCTTGTTCCAATATCATTTGGCAAGCTCCAGGCGCTTACATTTGTTGGTTACTCTCAGTATTTTTTTCTTCTGGCAGCCCTGCCAAAAACCCAATTGGTGTGGCGGTTCGCCTCTAATTGTAGATTTGGAGACCTGGTGACTGAGCAATTTCACTCATTCTCCAGCTGTGGCCCTTGGTTTTTCTCAGATAAACCAGGCAAATTTACCACTCCTCTAGTGGTCTCAAACTAGTTTAATTAGTTTAATTATATACCTAGGTTTTATTTTTTTGTACCCATTTCCTGATTTATGAAGGTCGACAACAATACAGTACGTCACGTTTCGTTTGTGAGTTCTTTGGCCGTCCCCATGTTGATGGATGTCAAAGGGATTTTTTTGAGTCTTACCTCATTTGCATACCCCAGTTAAACAGGAAGCCATGATCGGCCCCAGTGCAGTTCCTTTAGACTGAGTTGAACATAAAATTAGACTGTTAATGTATATTTAATTTTGTTTGATTATATTTAGAATAATCTTTAGGGATGTTATTGACACATTTTTGAGAAATAAAATTAATACTTGTTAACAAAAACCTTTTTCTCTGAGCAATGGCAGAATATAGTAATATGTTTTTTCTCTGCATACTTTTAGCATAAAATATAGCTCATTACCTATGTTTTTTATTTTATACAGACGTTTTTGCTCATCTTTATCAAGGGTGCCAATACTCTTAGAACTCTACACTTAGCTACTTCTATATAGAGTATTATTACCATTAAAATGCAAATATTTCAATGTTCCTGGTTTGTGTATTTCATAGAGTTTTGATATTCAGTTTCAGTTAGTACAGTGTCTTGTCGTCTCTACTGCAGTCAGAAAAATAGAAAAGACAGTTTTTAAAACTCTGAAAGAGCTTATCCAGATCATGTTACACAGCTCAACAGAAACATACAGCTCTGTTAAAACTTCATGTGAAATAAAGTCAGATAAGCAACTCAGAAATGGTGTGAAGCTGGCAGAACAACAAAATTCTTCTTGATAGAAAGCTGCAGCTGTCTCCACAAGATATTGTGCAAAAACCTGGTATGGTTTACAGAGTCGGACAATCAAATCTGCAGTGATCAGACAAAGGCAGGGTGGAAGAAGAGCATT